ACGTTCTCTGCTCCCTCCCAACACTGCTCATTCCCAACCCCACTCAAGTTCAGCACATCATTTTCATCGCCCGTCTCCTTTGAAAATGGTGGGCTGCATCCCTTTGAATGCAAAAGACCCGGTCTGCCTCTCTTCCACCAATTTGCCATATCCACTCCACTTGCTAATATCCAGCGGTTCGAACTAGGCTTGATGATGCACGCACGGCATGTCATGGGAATGGGACTGGTAAACCAATGCACGAGTGGATTGCACAGGCACAATGTGGTGCTATTCTCCAGCGGCTCGACTCGAGCTAGGCTCGAGTAACGCGTGCATTCACCACCTTGTGCCTGTGTAATTCACTCACCCGGTGAGAGTATGTCGCAACTGTGTTTCATTTCCACCTAGCCAAACCCCCTCGCTAGTCCCCTTCCCTCCTTGCTACCTCCCTGAAGTGCGTTTCGAGTAGGCTGATTGCCCCAATCCCTCGGCCCCCAATCTCCTCACCTTCACAATGCGTCAGACGGGACCACCATCCATGCCGCACCACGCCGCACCACGCCGCACCACACCGCACCACACCGCACCAGGCACCTACACACACTCCTCCCTCTCGCCCCTCCCACTCTTTTCCGCCGCATGCCCCAACCCCAACCCCACCCCCCCACTCCCCTCTTCCTACCCACCCACACAATGCTTCAGAAGGAGCCACCATCCACGTCGCACCAGGCACCTACACACACTCCTCCCTCTCGCCCCTTTCACTCCTTTGCACCACGTGCCTCAATCCCCCCCCACTCCCCACTCCCCACCCACCCGACACAGTGCTTCAGATGGGGCCACCATCCACGTCGCATCACACAACCACGCGCACTCGCCCGCCCCCCTAACCATCCTCTCCCCCTCGTCCCCTTTCCCCCTTCCCCCCAAAAGTGCGTCAGAAGGGGCCACCATCCATATCGCATTCAGGCACCTACACGCACTCACCTTCAACTGCTTTTGATTGCGTATCCCGATTCCCTCATCCCGCTCCCATACACGCACCCTCTCCCCCTTCCCCCCCACCTGCCCCCCAACAGTGCTTCAGAAGGAGCCACCATCCACATTGCATCAGGCACCTACACGCACTCCTCTCCCGCGCCTCTCCTGCTGCCCCACCTCCGTCTCTCCATCCTCGGTCCCCCCCTCCACCTCCCCCCTGCTCGCATTGACTGCTCCCACGGTCCCTGCTTCCAAGCGCTCTGCCCTGGCACTTCTCCTCCCTCCTCTGCTTCGTCCCCGTCCTCCCGTTTGACAGCTGCTGACCCGTCTGCTGCTACGCGCGCTGGTGATGCTGTAGCGACGGCTGTAGCCACGGCTACAGCAACAGCAACAGCAACGGAAGCAGCAAAACCAGCAGCAACGGAAGCAGCAGCAGCTGCGGCGGCGCTGCGCGGGGAGGCAGCGTGCAGCAGCTCTCTGGTAACCATCTCGCGGCTGCAGGTGGTGAATGGGCGGAGCAATGGCAAGGGCGGCTGCATGCTCTTTGAAGGCGTCACAGTGGCTTTGAGGTGAGGTGTGACGAAAGGGATGCTGTCACTTGGCGAGGTGAGATACGATGAGAGGGATGCTGTCACATGGCGAGGTGAGATGCGATGAGAGGGGTGCTGTCACTTGGCGAGGTGAGATGCGATGAGAGGGGTGCTGTCACTTGGCGAGGTGAGATGCGATGAGAGGGGTGCTGTCACTTGGCGAGGTGAGATGCGATGAGAGGGGTGCTGTCACTTGGCGAGGTGAGATGCGATGAGAGGGGTGCTGTCACTTGGTGCGTGGGGGTTGAGTGTGCAGCAGCTCTCTCATAGCCATCTCGCGGCTGCAGGTGGTGAATGGACGGCAAGGGTGGCTGCATGCTCTTCCAAGGGGTCACTCTGGCGCTGAGGTGAGTTGGGAGGGGTGCTGTGGTGTGTGTGAGCTTGACTGCCATGCCTCTCATTCTTTTGGGGCGCCTCAAAAGACTACTTTTGAGTTTTGAGAGACTACTTTTGAGTTTTGAGGCGCCTCAAAAGACTACTTTTGAGTTTTGAGGCGCCTCAAAGGAGGGGTGCTGTGGTGTATGTGAGCTTGACTGCCATGCCTCTCGTTCCCTCTGCCTTTCTCCCCTATTCCACCCCTTCCCTTCCACCTCCAATTCCCCAACGACCTCACACTCTCTCGGCTGCGATGCCTCCCATTCCTTCCCCCTTCCATCCTCTCCCTTCCCCTTCCTGCACCTTCTCCCCTCCTTTCTTCCCACCTGTTTACCCCACCAGCGACCTGACACTCTCCAACTGCCATGCCACTGAGTCTGGCGGCGGCATCCACATCAGCAGCGCGCCGCACCCAGTCACATTGCGCCACGTCACCATCCGGAACTGCTCTGTCTCCCTCCGCGCACCTTCCTCGAACAAAACTGCCTCTGCTTTCCGTCCCTCAGCCGTTTCCCTGGCATCATCAGCACCAGCATCAGCATCCTCCTCCTCGTTTTCTGCGTCTTCATCAGAAGCAACCCCAGCAGCAGCAGCAGCAGCAGCAGCAGCAGCAGCAGCAGCAACAACAAGATCAGCAGAAGGTACCGCATCCACTGCCAAAGCCGCAGCAGTGAAAGCAGCGGAAGCGATGGCAGCGGTCGCAGCAAGAGTCGCAGCGGCGAAATCAGCAGCAAAAACTGCAGCCGCGACTGCAACCGCCGCAGCAGCAGCAACGACAATATCAGCAGCAGCTGTAGCAGCAGAACCAGCAGCAGTTGACCCAGCAGCTGCTACCCGGCGCGCTGGGGGTGGATTAGCTCTTTATGATACTACAGCTGCTGCCACTGGCCTTGCCATCTCCGGCTGTAGCGCCCTCGGAGGGCCCACAACCACAACAAGAGGCGGGGGCCTCTTTGTGCTTAAATCGAGTCTGCTCATAAGCGATGCGAGAATTGAGGATTGCTACACTCAGATGGATCCTGCTGCTGCAACGGGGGATGGTGGTGGGGGGGCAATGGGGGGGATGGGAGGGGGAGGGGATGTGATAGGCAAGGGAGGGTGCATGGCGAGTGAGCGATCGAATGTCACCGTCCGCTTCTCCTCGTTCCAAGGCTGCGTGGTGCGTATGTGGGTAGGGTGCATGCATGGTGTGGTGTGGTGGGATAAGGGTGCTTGGTGCGTGGGGATAGAGGTTTTAGCATTGCTTAAGTTGTGCTTTCAGCATGTTCGCTAGCCTAGTCACAATGTTTTCTTGGGGATGGGAGGGAAGGGGGGGGTGCATGTGGTGAGAAAGGGGGGAGGAACTGCATGGTAATAACCGACCTGCGTGCAACACACGAGTTCAGTTCTGACTTTTAACGCAACGGTGCACATTTGCCACCCAAAACCCGAAACCCTAGCGAACTGTTACTGCGGAAGGAAAGTGTCCGCACGAAATACAGGGTTTCAACTTATGAAACTCCGCTTGTCAATCTAAACCCTCGTTCAATATAAGCTCATTTCTCCTAAGAGTCGTGCTCACTGGCGCTTTGCCCACTGGTCCTCCCCCCTCACAGAGAACCAACTGTCAGTTTCCCTCTTCCTTCCCTCTCCTCCCCTCCCTCACCTCCATCCACTGCGCACCCCCCTCCCCTCCCTCTCCACCAGTCGGCAAACGGTGGGGCAATAGTCGACTACAAGTCCACATTCAACGTATCGCACGCGGCCTTCCTCCACTCCTCCCCTCCCCTCCCCTCCCCACCAGTCGGCCAACGGCGGGGCAATAGTCGACTACAAGTCCACGTTCAACGTATCGCACACGACCTTCCTCCAATCCTCCCCTCCCCTCCCCAACAGTCGGCAAACGGTGGGGCAATAGTCGACTACAAGTCGACGCTCAATGTATCGCACACGACCTTTCTCCACTCCTCCGCGATGCTCCGCCCAGACGATTTCTTTTCGGCCATGGGGGGGTGCGTGCAGCTCAACAACTCAGCTGCCGCCTCCTTTGCTCACTGCCGCTTCTCCAACTGCTCTGCCCTGCTCACTGGGGGTGCGGTGTCCTTGTATCAAGGGGACTTGCAGCCTCAGTTTCACAACACCACGTTTGAGTCCAATGAGGCGCTGATTCAGGTGGGTCTGGATAGGTAATGAGGTGTTTAGCTGGGTGGGATGGTTCAATGGTCCCTTCTTGCCTACTGCCGCTTCGCCCGCTGCCCCTGCCTCGTCACTGGGGGTGGGTTGTCTTTTGAGGCGCCTCAAAAGGCTGCTCCTGCCTTGTCACTGGGGCTGGGTTGTCCTTCTATGAAGGGGAATTGCGGCCGCAGTTTCGCAACTCCACCTTTGAGTTCAGCGATGCGCTTACTCAGGTGGGCAAGGTTCGGGTTGGTTGGGTTGGATTGGATGATTGGAAACCCAATAAGGCACTGTGAAGCTGTTGGGAGATGCCTCAAGAAAGGGATAGAAGAGGCAGCAGCAGATTCACTACACCACACTCGAGACTAGGTGCTGATTTAGGTGGATTGGGTTGGTACTTGAGAGTGCATTAAGTCGGTTTGGCGTAGTAAATCTGGCTCAAGAAAGGAGAGAAAGGGGTGCATTTTGAGTGGACTCAACTCAGGACGCTCTTGAGGTACTTTCAATGCGCGTTATCCAGCCCATTTTTTAGTCGACTCAAAAATCGACTTTCAACGCACGTTATCCAGCCCAAGTGCATACCACCACGTCTTCTTTCAAGGCGCCTAAAATATTCAAGCATGCCCTAGAGGTATCTGCACATTATCTCGCTTGAGTGCATACCCTGAACTTCTTTCGAGGCGCCTCAAAAATTCAAACATGCTCTTGAGGTACTTTCACTGCACATTATCCAGCCCAAGTGTTCACCACATCTCCCTTTCCTCTCTAATCTGCCTCTTCCTCCATTCTGCGTCTCTCTTCTTTTCTTCTTCCTCCTTCTCCCTTGCCAACAGGGTGTGATGAGTCGATTTTTGAGTCGAGTCAAGAATCTTCCTTCTTTTCCCCTCCGGCCAGCAGGGTGGAGCCATAGAGCTATCCATGCTAAGCGGCATGGCCAACATCACAGACTGCACCTTCCGCAGCAACCGGGTCACCAACGGGCCAAGCTTCCACGCCGGCATTCTCTACTTTGGCTCAGCTCTCTCTACAACTGCCCCCTTCTATTTCACAGCACCTTCGTTCCTCTCTAATCTGCCCCTGTACTCCTCTGTGTTCCCTTGTACTCCTCTCTACTCTCTATTCCTTTCCGCTCTTGTGCCTTTCCCCTCCGGCCAACAGGGGGGAGCGATAGAGCTAGTATTGCTGAGTGGCATGGCCAACATCACAGGCTGCACGTTCCGCAGCAACCGGGTCACCAACGGGCCAAGCTTCGGCGCTGGCATTCTCTCCTTTGGCTCGGCTCTTTCTACAACTGCCCCTTCTCTTTCACAGCACCTTCGTTCCTCCCTAATCTGCCCCTATACTCCTCTATGTTCCTCTGCACTCCTCTCTACTCTCTGTTCCTTTCCGCCCTTGTGCCTTTCCCCTCCGGCCAACAGGGGGGAGCCATAGAGCTATCCATGCTAAGCGGCATGGCCAACATCACAGACTGCACCTTCCGCAACAACCGGGTCACCAACGGGCCAAGCTTTGGCGCCGGCATTCTCTCCTTTGGATCGCCGATGCGGGTGGAGAGGAGCTACTTCTGGCGCAATGAGGCGGTGAACATGCTGCCTCCGGGGTCGCAGGCCAGCACGTACCTCACTCAGGGCGGGGCCATTGATGCCAACATGTTCATGGACACCACTGTGGTGTATGACGTCATCGATAGCACGTTCGTTGAGAACAAGGTGGGTGGGTGGGTGTGTGTATGTGTGTGAGAGTATAAAGTTTGCGGGGCGCAGGCCAGCACGTACCTCACTCAGGGCGGGGCCATCGATGCCAACATGTTCATGGACACCACTGTGGTATATGACGTCATCGATAGCACGTTCGTTGAGAACAAGGTGAGTAGGCAGGGCATGAGACAGCTTTCCACACCAGGTGATGGTGAGGCATGTGGGCAGGTGGACGTAGGGATGAGCAAAAAAACGAACACCTGTTCGGTTCGCCTCGAACACGTTCGAGGCGAACCGAACAGGTTAATTTTTTTGGCTTAAATCGTTCGCCGAACAGTGTTCGAGGTTCGCCCGAACACGTTCGTGTTCGGGCCGCTGCTGCAATTTGCCCCTAGACGAACACGAACGTGTTCGAGGTTCGCCCGAACACGCCTTCATAGGCGAACGGCGAACACCTGTTTTTGCTTAAGGTGTTCGCCGAACCGAACAGTGTTCGGTTCGCCGAACAGGGGTGTTCGTGCATGGGCGAACACGAACACGTTCGTGTTCGCCCTTTGCTCATCCCTAGGTGGACGTGGGCCAATGTTAAAAGTAAACGTTGTAGCATGCTAACACTTGTGACTGTACACCACGTGTGGTGTACAGTTGGGTTGGGACTACACCCAACATTGGGGTGCCAATCCAACCCAATTGTGGTGGTGCCCTCAAATGCATCCTAATGGGCCATTGGTCACCTCACTTCCCAAAGTGAAGCTAACCCAATTCAGTGGGTCATAGGTTGTCCCACTTGCCAAGTGTAGTCAACCCAACCCAATGGGCCAATGGTTCCCTCACTTACCAAGTGAGGTCAACCCAACCTAGGGATGAGCAAAGAAACGAACACCTGTTCGGTTCGCCTTGAATGTGTTCGAGGCGAACTGAACATGTTTTTTTATTTGGCTTAAAGTGTTCGCCGAACAGTGTTCGAGGTTCGCCCGAACACGTTCGTGTTCGGGCCGCTGCTGCAATTTGCCCCGCGACGAACACGAACGTGTTCGAGATTCGCCCAAACATTCCTTCACAGGGGAACGGCGAACACCATTTTTGTGTTCGGTTTGCCGAACGGCCATGTTCGTGTAGGGGCGAACGCGAACATGTTCGAGTTCGCCCTTTGCTCATCCCTAACCCAACCCAATGGGCCATAAGTTGGTCCATTGCCCCAATTTCCACCTCCCTCCATTTTCCTTCCAAGCTTCTCTTCCCATCTAAAAATGCTTGTTTCTTACCTAAAACAGTTAATGGTTCAAGCCTCAACTTTTCGCAGCCAACACTTTGTTCGAAAGGAAATGTTGCCATGAGCAAGAAATGTCGACGCTGGGATTTGAACCAGTGACCTGTATCTTGAAAGAGTTTTCTAGGACAGTTTCTGCAAGGGCACTTGTTTATGCTGCACACGAGATTTGGGCCCAAGACCTTCTGATGCATGTGTCACACAGCAAAGTACTTCGGATTGGGGCAATTTTGACAAGACTGAAAAAAATGTGAATGGGATTAAAACTCGCACGTATAGAAGTTTGGATCGGCGAACTTCATACAACATATTTTAGTCCATAAGATTGTACATATCTTGGAGATTAGAGCAATGACATTGTCCAAGGGTGAGTTCTAGTGAAGTGGTAAGTCTTAAGTTAGCTGCAGCACTTCAAAGTCGAAGGCAAGGCCAACCAACCTTGCCAAGCTAGCAAGTAAGACCTCATGTTGCACATGTGGGCCAGGCTCGAACAACAACCCACATGGCAACATATGGCACACCGTAGGGGCATGGAAGGTGAGCATGGGATGAGTGGACAGGTGGCAATGAGCGACCACACATCATTGTGGTTGAGTGTGATGGATGGAGTATGGACATATAATGGAAAAACCACGTGAACTGAAACAGTATTTGAGACGCCTAGAAATTCGTTGCAAGTGCATGTTCATGGACCCCACGGGGCATGTGCAAGCGACTATTCAGCTCCCTGATCCTCCTCTAGCCATGCCTAATATCCCGCACTCCTTCTAGAGTTGAGCATTTGACCCGACCCGACCCGACCCGACCCGATTTGGCCGGGCCATACGGGCCCTCGGGTCGGGTCGGGTCGGGTCGACCTCGGGCCAGATTCCCGAAACATCTGGCCCGACCCGGGGGTACAGGGCTGGGCCGACCCTGGCCCGAGTTCGGCTCGGGCCGGGTCGGGTTGGGCCAGGAAACCCGATTTCACCCGCGCTCTGGGCAGATCGGCGATTTCGCCCGCCGATCTGCGCAGATCGGCGATTTCTCCCGCCGATCTGCGCAGATCGGCGATTTCTCCCGCCGATCTGCGCAGATCGGCGATTTCTCCCGCCGATCTGCGCAGATCGGTGAGTTCGTTGGCGTAACTCTGCAAATCGTCAATTTTGCTGAAAATCTGGTGGAGATTGGGAGTTTCGCCGTGGCACTCGTTTCTGACGAATGTGTTGGAACAAATAATTCCAACCAATTTGCCACTGCTCACCACTCCTTGCCGCACTAAATCTACCATTCCCAACCACCCCCCCCCCGCCCCCCCCTCTTTACAGATCCCTCGACATTGAGCCTCTCCACAAAGTCGACTTTAACTTAGCAGCATCTTTCTTTGGCTGCAAACTAAGTAGTTATGGTTCCTAGACGACGTTGGCCGCTTGAGGAAGGATATTAGGTGTGCGTTAATGAAATGATGTGTACGGGGAAACAAATACCCTTGACATAAAATGTGTTAGGGTTTCGGGTCCCCCCCTGTGTCGAGATCTGACCCGACCCGATTTCCCAAATTCTGACCCGAAATCAGGTCGGGTCAAAGCTGACCCGAGACCCGACCCGACTCGGCCCGAGTCCCATGCTCGGGTCGGGTTTTAGCCCGGGTCGGGTCGGGTCGGCCCGCACGGGGCAGGCTATTGAAACTACTGACCCGACCCGGGCTAAACCACGGGTCGGGTCGGGCCGGCCCGACCCACGCGGGGCAAATGCTCATCTCTAACTCCTTCTCATTCTCTCCTGCTCCGCACTCCACTCAGGGCGGGCAAGGCGGGGCGATGTTCATAGACACAGGGCATGTGCGACTGCTCGACTGCCTCTTTTGCTTCTGTGCCCTGCAACAACCTCTTGTTCCCCCCTCTCCTTACCTCCATTCCTCCCTACACTTTGGCCGGGCAAGGCGGGGCAATGTTCATGGACACAGGGCACGTGCGACTGCTCAACTGCCTCTTTTGCCTCTGTGCTCTCTACAACAGTCTCCTGTTTCCCCCTTTCCTTACCTCCATTCCTCCCTACACTCAGGCGGGGCAAGGCGGGGCGATGTTCATGGACACAGGGCACGTGCGACTTCTCAACTGCCATTTCTTTCGTAATGGAGACTACTCCGAGACCTCTCTGGGTGGTGCTGGTGAGTTGCAGTCATGCTGCTGTGTTGCAAGTGACGGGCTTGTATGTTGCTAATGTCAGAACTTGAGCTTAGAATCCATGCATTTAGTAATGGGCTTGAAGTTCTTTAAGTACATCCAGGATGAGCAAGGAAATGGATGGGAAGGGAATCGGGGGCAATCTCTCTGGGTTGGAAGTATCTTAAGGCAATTTCCAATTGGTGGGGTGGAAATTGCTTGGAGATCACATTTGGGTTTGGTTGGGATGTAGGTGTACACCCAACCAAACACAAAGTGAAAACCACACTAAACTAGGGTAAAAAACAGTGCAAGTACACAATTTGAGATTGAGGGCTAATACGAACACCCCCAAATAGACGTCAATCGAACTTATGGTAGAGAAGGTGGGGCACACAGCCCCATGGCGTCAAGAAGACGATGGTGAGGAACCTTTCCACTGGGCTTGGTGAACAGATTAGCCAAGTTGCAGCCAGATGCAACGAACTCCATGTTCAACTGATCACGCTGGACAAGGTCACGGATGAAGAAGCGGCAAAGTTTGATGTGCTTGGTGCGAGTGTGAAACACGTGATCTTGGGAGAGGTGGATAACACTCATGTTATCACACCATAGAGTGGGGTTGGGATGAGGGTAGCCAAGCTGGAGGAGGAAGGTGAGTCAATGGACCTCTTGAGCTACCATGGTGTCAGCGTAAAGCTCTGCCTCACAGGAGGAGGGGGAGACTGCAGACAACCCGGTGGAGCGCCAGCTAACAACTCCACTACCAAGGGTCATCGGCCCAAGAGGAGTCAGTGTAGCCTTCCAGTCGAGGAGGAGAGGGACCACCAAGTGTGAGTACATAAGACTTGGTGCCCTGCAGATAGCGTAACACAAGCTTCGCCGCCTTCCAGTCAGATCGGTGAAGCATCCAGGAGCCACATAGCGAGAGAGGACACTGACAGGGTATGCCAAGTCAGGCCGGGTGCACATCATGGCGTACATGAGGGACCCAACAAGCTCCGGGTGTGGTTTGGAGCACGCTGTTAGTGTGGGAATGGTTGGAGTTGTGAGGAGGTGCTGTAGTGGCAGTGGGGTGGCCGTGGGTGTGCACGATTCCATCTCAAACCACTTGAGGGCATTCTTGATGTAGAACTCCTGGGAGAGCGAGATGGTGCGAGCTTGGCGATCACGAGTGATCTCCATCCCCAGGTACCGAGTTTGAGTCTTTCCCCATCCCCCAAGCCAAACCCTCTTCTTTCAACTGACCACCAATATCCTATGCCCGCCTCATTCCGTCTCGACCTTTCCCCTCTTGTCCCTTCCCCTCTCGCCCCTTCCCCTCTTGTCCTTTCCCCTCTCGCCCCTTCCCTTCTCGTCCCTTCCCCTCTCGTCCCTTCAACTCTCGTCCCTTCCCCTCTCGTCTCTTCACCTCTCGCCCCATCACCACTCAAGCCTTCCCCTCACGACTTCTTTGTTCGTCCCTTCCCCTTGTGCCCCTACGCGCAGTGACACCACGCACACGAATGCTCATATACAGCTGCACGTTTGTGGACAACAAAGCCTGCGACAATGGTGGAGCACTAGACTTGCTGTGGTGGTAAAGCTGACTCAAGCGTCCCCCCATTGTTCCCCCCCTCTTTTCCCACTTGAACGCGACCGCGTGAATGCAGTGACACTGCGTGCAAAATCGCTGGTAGACAACTGCACCTTTGTGAACAACAAAGCACGCGACAACGGTGGAGCGATGCAGTTCTTGCCTTACGATAACCTCACTGTCTCCCACTCGCGCTTCCAAGGGAACTCCGCACTTATGCAAACTGGCGGTGCAATTAACGTGCTGGGGGTGAGTTGTGAGCGTTGTCAATGTGTGTGAGGTGAGGTGAGCTGTGGTTGCGAGTGCTATTGTCACTTCCTGCCTTACGTACGGTACCCTCACTCACTGTCTCCCGCTTGCGCTTCCAAGGGAACTCCGCACTTATGCAAACCACCGGTGCAATTACCGTGATGTGGGTGAGTAAGTGATGTGGGTGAGTAAGTGATGTGGGTGAGTAAGTGATGTGGGTGAGTGAGTGATGTGGGTGAGTAAGTGATGTGGGTGAGTGAGTAATTGATGTGGGTGAGTGAGTAAGTGATGTGGGTGAGTGAATGAGTGTGGATTTCTTGTCGACTAAAATAACTCTTCCAAGAGAACTCTACACTCACTCATGCAAACCAGCGGCACTAATAATGTGATCGGGGTGAGTGAGTGCTGCTGGAAGAGAGCGAATGTGAGTGATTTGTGAGTCGTATTGTAAGCTGTGAGTTGCCATTGCCAGTGTCGATGCGTTGTGAGTTTTGCATTTTGACTTGTCATTGTTGGTCGCCTGCACTGCATTGCACCGGCTGGCTTGCCGGTCTGTCGATGTTTCTTTTGAGAATTCTCAAAATATACATCAACTACGCATTGTGACTTGTTATTGTGGGTCGCATGCATTGCACCGGCTGGCTTGCCGGTCTACCTCGTCCTCCTCTTCCCAGTAGCCCTTCACTCTCACACACCTGCTAACACTTGCATGTGCTTTCACTCACACACTCCCCCACACTCCCTCGCATCTGCACTCACTTTCATGCACTCCCACCCACTCCCTCACACACACCTGCAGGGCACGGGGGCAATAAAGGTGGAAAGCAGCACATTCGTGGGTAACAGGGCAGAGAAGTCAAAGGGAGGCGCGCTGTATAGCGAGTCGGTGTCAGTCACATTCGATAATGTCACACTGGATGGCAACAAGGCAGCACTGCAGGGAGGCGCCGTTGCTGGTGAGTGGGTACAAGCTAATGCTTTGTGGCTGGTGAGTGAAACACACGGCGTCAAAAGAGGTGCTGTGTACAGCGAGTCGGTGTCAGTCACATTTAACAATGTCACTCCAAGGCAACAAGGTGGCACTGCAGGGAGGTGCGGTGGCTGGTGAGTGAATGCATGACACCAAACCAAAGGAAGGAGGCACCCTGTACAGCGAGTCGGTGTCAGTCACATTCGATAATGTGGCACGAGTGGCATGCAAGTCGGACACCACTCGAAGTCTCATGACATGCAAGCGACTTGAATGTTCTATCTATTTTCATTTTGTCCCCTCCCCTGTTCCACCATTTGTTTCTCTGCCTCCCTCCCGTCCAACTCCCCACCTTGCAGTATATGCACAAAGCATGCCGCTTTGTGCGCAATGAGGCGGTATTCAGGGGAGGTGCTATGTACACACTACACATGTTTCTTCTCTGCCTCCCCTCCTGCACCCCCCACTGTCCAGTCTATGCATCCAGTAGCGACGGTCTGCCTACAGAAGCTTTCTTCAAGTCCTGCCGCTTCGTGCGCAACGAGGCGGTATTTGGGGGAGGTGCTATCTACACACTACACATGTTTCTTTCTCTGCCTCCCCTCCTGCACCCCCCACTGTCCAGTCTATGCATCCAGTAGCGACGGTCTGCCTACAGAAGCTTTCTTCAAGTCCTGCCGCTTCGTGCGCAACGAGGCGGTATTTGGGGGAGGTGCCATCTACACACTACACATGTTTCTTTCTCTGCCTCCCCTCCTGCACCCCCCACTGTCCAGTCTATGCATCCAGCAGTGATGGCTTGCCCACAGAGGCTCTTTTCAAGTCCTGCCGCTTCGTGCGCAATGAGGCGGTACTTGGGGGAGGTGCTATCTACACGGGACTGGGCATGCACACGCGCGTGCACGCATGTGAGGTGGAGGAAAACAACAGCACGGGGCTGGGCGGTGCTGTGCTCGTACAGGAGTTCTCCCGGGTTGAGATGACTAACACACGCTGCCACGGGAACATGTGAGTGACATAACAGTAGCATTTGGCAGCTCTATCTCTGACTGATGTGCTTAACAAGAATAACGCCTTGAAAGAAGGTGCCTCAAAGACTGCTGAGTCAAGTGGGAGGTGCTTGGGGGAAGTGCATGCATGTGAGGTGGAGAGCAACAGCAGCACTTGGCTGGGTGGCGATGTGGCCGTGTAGGAGTTCTCTCGGGTTGACATGACTCGCACATGAAGGGAACATGTGAGTGACATGAGGTGACGCGGTGGCATGTGATGTGAGTGTGTGAAATACAACAGCATGTGTGTGTGTGTGTGTGTGTGTGTGTGTGTGTGTGTGTGTGTGTGTGTGTGTGTGTGTGTGTGTGTGTGTTGGGGGGGGGGGGGGGGGGGTCAGCCCCCACTTCCATCGAGGGTGAGCCCCTAAGCACGGGAGGCCTCGTGCACGTGCTCGAGCCTGAGCTCGAGATGCCCTAGACTGCCCTGTCCCGTTTTGTATGGCTGTGCTCTTAGTGTGTTGTACTTATCACGCTTATTTAATGAAGGACCATTCGATACAACAGCATGGAGCTGGGTATGTGCAACGAAGCGTACTTGGGAAAGGTGACGACATCACCACTTTGCAGGGTGGTGCTGTGCTCGTGCAGATTTTCCCATGGCAGTGGTGCGTGCAGGGTTGGCATGACTCGCACGCACCACTGCCATGGGAACATGTGAGTGAGATGAGATGACACGGGGGGGGCATGTGTGAGATGACACAGGGGGGGCATGTGTGAGATGACACGGTGGCATGTGAGATGACATGGTGACATGTGAGATGACACGGTGACATGTGAGATGACACGGTGACATGTGAGATGACATGGTGACATGTGAGATTACATGGTGGCATGTGAGATGACATGGTGACATGTGAGATGACATGGTGACATGTGAGATGACATGGTGACATGTGAGATGACACGGTGACTTGTGAGTTAGTGCAAAACATAGCTTAGTGATCCATGTCAAGACTGCCTCCGTCTTTCCTCTTGTCCAAACCTCCTGTGTTTCTTTCTCCAGAGCCTTAACAGGCAGGGCATGAATCTCTCGCCAACGCCTGCGCCAATCTGCAAGCCACACACGGCACCCATGAGGGAGGAGTAGCGCTGCATGTGTGCTGCAATGACGACCATTTCCTGATGCTGCAGGGTGTTTTTGAGAATTCTCAAAAACACCATGTGTGCTGCAGTGACAACCATTTCCTGATTCCTCCCTCTCCTTCCCCCCAACCCTCCAACAACAGAGCACTAACCGGCGGCGCCTGTCTCTCTCTGCTTGCCAACGCGCACGCCACAGTCACCGACTCGGTCCTTTCAGCCAACCGGGGCACCAGCGAGGGGGGAGCAGCGCGGGTCAGCGGCAGTGCGCACCTCTCCCTGCTCTCCTCCTCCATCTCCCACAACACCGCAGCCTGGGGGGGCGCCGTCTGGGTCGAAATGGGCGCCTCTCTCCTCATCTCAAACAACTCGAAGCTCGAAGGAAACGAGGCGCGGTATCTCGGCGGGACGGTGTATGCAACGCACGTGTCTCGGGTGGACGTGCGAGGCGGGAGCGTGTTTCGAGGGAACTCGGCGCTGCACGGAGGGGCTATGGTGGTAGAGGCAGAGGCGAGAGTCACAGCGGCTGATTCTGCGTTTGAAAACAACACCTTTTCGGGGATTTTATTCCAGGGGTTTTCCCAGGGGGTTCTGCGGAACTGTAGCTTTGAGAGGAATTTGAACGCGGCCGGGCGGGGTGGTGCGGTGCTGGTTGGGGATAAGACGACGGTCGTCGTCCACTCGTGCAGCTTTTCCGGGAACTGGGCAGCGCTGGGTGGTGCGGTGAGCACCGAAGGCAGCCCGTATCTCACGATCAACGGCTCGGATTTCACGAGGAATGTCGCGCAGATCGGCGCGGGGGTTGCCCTAGCAGGCGCCACTGCTTTCACCATGGGCAAATCTGTTTTCTCTGCGAACAACGCGACTAAGGCGGGAGGGGGTGTGGCTCTACTGGAGCAGGTGGAGGGGGAGATCTCAGGGTCTAGGTTTGAAGGTAACTATGCGGTGGTGGGCGGTGCAGGGGTGTACCTGATGCGAACTGCTACTGCCACTGCGGCTGCAGCTGGTGGTGGTAATAGGCCTCCCCGGGTAGGTGCTTCTGCTTCTGCTCCTGGTCGAGCTAAGAAAGCCAGAGGGCGGATTACGCTCGCCAGTAGCAGCAGAGACAGCAGCAGCAGCAGCAGCAGCAGCAAAAGCAGTGTCGTGGGAGCAGCAGCCTCTGGTGCTGCTTCTACTATCCCAAATACCACCTCCACCACTAGTTCCTCCGCCTCCTCCTCCTCCATCTCCACCAATCAGGTGCAACTGCAAGACCTGGTGTTTGATGGCAACAGGGCCATGGACGCACATGGAGTGGCCTTCTTTGACGCTTCCTACAGTCCTCAGCTGCGCTCCACGTGTCATGCCTGCCAGATGGTGCAACAGGGGGACACGCAGGGCAGCATGCCGGCTGACTTTTATCTCAAGTGAGTGCGCGTGTAAAGAGTACGTTTTGGCAGCTTCTTGCTTGGCTTGCCAGTTGGTGCAGCCGGGGGACACGCAGGGCAGCATGTCAGCGGGCTTCTATCTCAAGTGAGTGCGCTTGAAAAGAAATAGCTTCCTACAGCCTCCATTTCACCTTTTGATACTTCTCACCATGCCACCCTCTCACCCCTCGTCCAGATGACCATTAGCCAGCACCTAACCCCCCCTCGCCCTCCTCCCTCCCCACCCATCAACCTTCAATACCCCGTGCCAACCTCTCACCCCTCTTTTAGATGGCCGGGGGCAGCAGCGTCATCGCGGGAGACAGGTGGCAGCTTCTCAGTGGTGGGGTCGGTGGGCTCAATGCTGACGGGGCTGCAGGTGGTGGTCGTTGATGAGTTTGGCAACATCGTTGCCAAGGTGAGGATTGGAGTGACTTGTGAGTGAGTGGGGTCAAGATCTTCTCAGTGGTGGGCTCTCTGTGGTGGGCTCGGTATGTGCGCTGTGTGCGCTCTGTATGTGCGCTGTGTGGGCTCTGTATGTGCGCTGTGTGCGCTCTGTACGTGCGCTGTGTGGGCTCTGTATGTGCGCTGTGCGGGCTCTGTATGTGCGCTGTGTGGGCTCTGTATGTGTGCTGTGTGGGCTCTGTATGTGCGCTGTGTGGGCTCTGTATGTGCGCTGTGCGGGCTCTGTATGTGCGCTGTGTGGGCTCTGTATGTGCGCTGTGTGGGCTCTGTATGTGCGCTGTGTGGGCTCTGTATGTGCGCTGTGTGGGCTCTGTATGTGCGCTGTGTGGGCTCTGTATGTGCGCTGTGTGGGCTCTGTATGTGCGCTGTGTGGGCTCTGTATGTGCGCTGTGTGCGCTCTACTCGGTGGGCTCCATGCTGACGGGGCTGCAGGTGGTGGTGGTGGACGAGTTTGGCAACATCGATGCCAAGGTGAGGCACGGGGTGATGGGGTGGCAACGTTGATTTAGTGAGCGATGGGGCCACCTTAATCAGGTGGTTACGGAGCTGCAGGTGGTGGCGGTGGACGAGTTTGGAAACATCGTTGCCAAGGTGTGAAATGGTTGATCTACCTGTTGTTCGGTTCATTAGCGTGAGCTGCTGTACGGATAGGGATGTTGCACTTGGTAGTGATGCTGCAGGTGGTGGTGGTGGATGGGTTTGGAAACATCGTTGCCAAGGTGTGAAATGGTTGATCTACCTATTGTTAGGTTCATTGGCATGAGCTGCTGTGCGGATAGGGATGTTGCACTTGGTAGTGATGCTGCAGGTGGTGGTGGTGGACGAGTTTGGCAACATCGCTGCCAAGGTGAGAAATGACTTATCTTACATTCAGTTCGTTGGCGCGAGTTGCTGTATAGGGATGTTTGTGCAAGGGGTGGTGGGGTGGTGGTGGATGGGTTTGGCAGCATCGTTGCCAAGGTGAGAAAGGGGCAGAAGTTCACTGCAATGCACAAAACGGCCACTTCAGCGGGGCACTAGGGGGCACTAGGGGGCACTAGGGGGCACTAGGAGGCACTAGGGGGCACTAGGGAGCACTAGGGGGCACTAGGGGGCACTAGGGGGCACTAGGGAGCACTAGGGGGCACTAGGGGGCACTAGGGGGCACTAGGGAGCACTAGGGGGCACTAGGGGGCACTAGGGGGCACTAGAGGGCACTAGGGGGCACTAGAGGGCACTAGGGGGCACTAGGGGGCACTAGGGGGCACTAGGGGGCACTAGGGGGCACTAGGGGGCACTAGGGGGCACTAGGGGGCACTAGGGGGCACTAGGGGGCACTAGGGGGCACTAGGGGGCACTAGGGGGCACTAGGGGGCACTAGGGGGCACTAGGGGGCACTAGGGGGCACTAGGGGGCACTAGGGAGCACTAGGGGGCACTAGGGGGCACTAGGGGGCACTAGGGGGCACTAGGGGTCACTAGGGGGCACTAGGGGGCACTAGGGGGCACTAGGGGGCACTAGGGGGCACTAGGGCGCACTAGGGGGCACTAGGGGGCACTAGAGCCCTCCCACCCACCACTCAGTGCGTGGCACTCACGGCAACCAACCGCTCACCTGAGTCCTCTCCTTCTCTTCCATTTCCTCCCATTCCACCACCCACCCACACCACCAGGACAACTCCGCCCTGGCCCGTGTCTCCCCTGACAGTCGCATCAGCGGCTCCCTATGTGGCACATCGCAGGGCGGCATCATCATTCATTCACCCTACCCTCTCCCCTCCACTTCCTCCTCCCACCCCTCCCAACTCCCCTCTTCCCACCCGTCAGGACAACTCTGCCCTGGCCCGTGTCTCCCCTGACAGTCGCATCAGCGGGTCGCTACGAGGCACATCCCAGGGCGGCATCATCACAGTGATTCATTGCACCCTCTCCCCTCCCCTTCCTCCTCCCACTCCCCGCACCCCCATCCCCCCAACCACCAGGACAACTCTGCCTTGGCCCGCGTCTCCCCTGACAGTCGCATCAGCGGCTCCCTACGAGGCACATCCCAGGGCGGCATCATCACAGTACCGCCCATTGCCGTCCGCGTGTCCCCGGACGGAGCGCAGCAGTCGATTCCGCTCACCATCACCGTCTCCTCCACCACCAACGCCTTCCCGGACTTCTCCCACCCCTTCAACATTTCCTTCTGCCCGGCCGGGCAGTACTTTGACGGCGAAACTTTCAGCTGCCAGGACTGCCCTGTCGGCCACTGGTGGGTTTTGTCTCTTTCCCATGATTGGCCTATTGGCCACCCTTTGTCCATTTAATTACCTGCTTTTTGCCTGCCTACAGCGTTAGGGTCCGATTTCTGAGACCTCTCAAAAGTGGGTCTGTGATTACTCTAGAGGATTCTAATTATCGCCCTTTGCCTGTCGGCAATGCTAGGGTCTGTTGATACAGAACCAGGACTGCTTGTGGGAGGGCCACTGGTGGTTTACGTGCCTTGCATGTATGAAGCGCTAGAGTGGATTAGCGCACGTGTGTGCGCTCGCACTTGTGGGTGCGTGCGTGCGTGTGCGTGCGTGTGCGTGCGTGTGTGTGTGTGCGTGCTGCTCCTGGCTTGTCTGTAGGGGTGTCTCAAGGAAATCTTGTGTGCTTCCTCTCCCGTTCCCTCTTTCTCCCTGTGCTCTCAGGTGTGCCCCGGCCCGGGCCAGGTCAAGGAGACGTGTCCAGACTTTTGAGAATTCTCAAAACTCACACGAATATAGCGGGCCAGGTCAAGGAGACGTGTCCACACCGGAACTTCACATGTCTGCTCGACGCCGCTTCTCAACGCATCCCAGCACAGCACAGCATGTCAGATGGCTCCCCCTCTTACTCCCCCCTGCCACTTCCTTCCTATCCCATTCCCCCATGCATACCCGCTCCCCCTCAGGTGTGCACCAGGCCAGGGCATGGAGACATGTCCAGACGGCACCTTCACCTTCTTCCCCAATGCGGTGTCCCAGGATGAGTGCACGCCGTGTGACGATGACAGCCTGGAGTGCCGCTATGGCACGCTGGAGGTGGGTGGGTTGCAGTGGGTGAGAGTGTGTGTTTGTGTGAGAGATACTACAGCGTGCAGGATGAGTGCACGCCGTGTGATGATGACAGCCTGGAGTGCCGCTATGGCACGCTGGAGGTGGGTGCGTTGTGTGTCTGTGTGTGAGTGGGGTAATGTGTGAGATATGTGAGGAGGATCGGGGAAGTGATGCAACGGGATTCACTGGTGCAACGTGTGGCACTCCAACCGAACGCCGTGTCCCAGGATGAGTGCACGACGTGTGATGATGACAGCCTGGACTGCCGCTATGGCACGCTGGAGGTGGGGTGGGTGTGTGTGTGAGGGGGGTTAGGGGGGGCATGCTACAGCACGGCACTTTCACCTTCTTCCCCAACGCGGTGTCCCAGGATGAGTGCACGCCGTGTGACGATGACAAATTGTACTGCCGCTATGGCACGCTGGAGGTGGGTGTGAGTGAGTAGGTTGTCAGACATTCCAGCGAGCAGCAGTTTCAGGGAGAGGTTTAGCAAAAGGAGAAAACAGTTGTAGCAAAGCCTAGCTAATGTACGCTGGAGGTAGGTGCGAGTGAGTAGATTACTGTATGAATTGAAATGTGGGAGGGTGATAAGTAAAGGGATGCTACAGCACCGGCGCCGAATTTTGAGGCGCCTCAAAAAAGGGATGCTACAGCACGGCACCGAATGACACTCTCCCAAACGTCGTGACCCAGTAGCAGTGCACGCTGTGTGAGATGTGCCGCTACGGCATGCTGCAGGTAGGTGGTTGTGTGTGTGTGTGGGAGTGGGGTGGTGTGTGAGATATGTGAGAAGGATTAGGGAAGAAATGCTACAGAAGGGCAGCATAGGGCAGCATAGGGCAGCATAGGGCACCATAGGGCAGCATAGGGCATCATAGGGCACCATAGGGCAGCATAGGGCACTCCTCCCTACCAACGAGGTGTCGCAGGAGCAGTACACGGCGTGTGGCGATGACAACCTGAACTGTCGCTACGGCACGGTGCAGGTGAGACGGCTGGGGAAGAGATGCACCCTCCAACTGCTGGGGAAGAGATGCACCCTCCAACTGCTGGGGAAGAGATGCACCCTCCAACTGCCTGCCCTCGTTAACTTCCTACCTCCCACGCCCTTCCATCACCCCGCTCCCCTCCCTTGCAGATCACGTACCGGAATTGGCTGGACCCAGCGTCTCTCAACTCCATGCCCACCACTTAGTACCTATGTCTGCTCACCAACACCCGCTTCCCCCTGCCTTCCATCGCTCTTCAACCATTCTTAACTGTCCACCCTCCCCTCCCCTCCCATCCCCCCCGCTCTCCTCCCTTGCAGATCGCGTACCAGAATTGGCTGGACCCAGCGTCAGCAACTCCACGCCCACCACTTAGTACCTATGTCTGCTCACCAAAGGCTGCTCCCTGCTCACCAAAGGCTGCTCCCTGCTCACCAAAGGCTGCTCCCTGCTCACCAAAGGCTGCTCCCTGCTCCTCACTCAGCCTTCCCATTCTTGTCTTTCCACCCTCCCGGGGCTCCCCATCCCTCCCATCCCCCGCTCCCCTCCCCTCAGATCCCCTCCCTTAACGACACACCCACCACCTATACATACCTGCTCACCGAGGGAAGCTCTGGCACCACCTATGCATGTCGCTGATGTATGTACCCTCCAATTGCCTGTTCTCATTAACCTCCTACCTCCCACACTCTCCCACCCTCCTCTTTCCCCTCCCATCCCCCCCGCTCCCCTCCCTTCAGATTGCGTACCAGAACTGGCTGGACCCAGCGTCTCTCAACTCCACGCCCACCACCTATGCGTGTCTTCTCACCGAGGGATGCTCTGGCACCACCTACACAGGCCCCAACACCACGCAGTGCGCCGTGGGATATAACAACACCGTGCCGTGAGTGTGTGGGCAGTGGGTGGGTTTGCTTGACCTAGTTTTTGGAGGAGTGACGAGGTAATGATTGCAATCAAGGTAGCCTGAATGCGTGTCACTGAGCTGCTGCAGCCGCGCCTACCATGCCGTAACCTACCCACATGCCACCACCTACCCACATGCCACCACCTACACAGGCCCCAACACCACGCAGTGTGCTGTGAATTGCAAACAACAGCACACTGTGAGTGCAGACTGCTAAGTGGGTGTGCGAGATGGTGAAGTAGTGCTGCAGATCTAAAGAGTTTGTTAATATCCTTGACCCACAATTCCACTCCCCTCCCAGCATACCCCTGCCTAGCAAAACCTGCTGCAAGTGCACACCCACTTGATCTCGCTCATCCCCCTCTGCTCCTCACCCGCTGCTCCTCACTCGCTGCTCCTCACCTGCTGCTCCTCACACCGTGGACAATGATTACCCACTGCTCCTCACACGTGGACAACGAACACCCGCTGATGCAGTTCTGCAGTTCGACTAGCACAGCACGTGCTTGCTACCTCCTGCCCCCCGCTTCTCCCCACTTCTCTCTGCGCGACCTCTTTTTCTTGTGTGCGTGTCCTGTGCTGTGCTGTGCTGTGCTGTGCCGTGCCGTGCCGTGCCGTGCTGTGCTGTGCTGTGCTGTGCGGTGCTGAGCTGTGCCGTGCCGTGCCGTGCCGTGCCGTGCCGTGCCGTGCTGTGCTGCAGTCACACAAGCACTTAATCAATGTCCTCCAGACCTTCCTCTCTTGTGTGTTTCATTCGTGTGTGTGCCATGTGTGTGCTGTGCTGCGTGCATGCAGCATGTGCTCCTCATGTGCAGATGGCTACTCGTACCATGTACTCCTCATGTGCGGACGGCTACTACTAGATCTCATCCCCTCCTCCCTCACTTCTCCCTCTGCGCTGCCTCTTTCTCCTACACGTGTGCTGTGCTGCGTGCATGCAGCATGTGCTCCTCATGTGCGGACGGCTACTACCTCGTGCTGCACTTGCAGTTGGAAAGGCACCCACTGAGTCAACCCTGGTCTCCCTCTCCTGCTTGCCTTGCTGCGCTCTGTGCTGCGTGCATGCAGCATGTGCTCCTCATGTGCGGATGGCTACTACCTCGTGCTGCACTTGCAGTTGGAAAGGCACCCACTGAGTCAACCCTGGTCTCCCTCTCCTGCTTGCCTTGCTGCGCTCTGTGCTGCGTGCATGCAGCATGTGCTCCTCATGTGCGGACGGCTACTACCTTGTGCTGCAGTACTGCGAACAATGCACGGCCGCTCTCAAATCAGTGAGTCTCATCTCAGCAACTCAACAGCAATACGACCTCTGCAGCTCCTCTCTGTTGTTGCAAGTTGTTTTTGAGAATTGCACGTTGTTTTTGAGAATTGCAAGTTGTTTTTGAGAAGTGCAAGTTGTTTTTGAGAAGTGCAAGTTGGTTTTGAGAATTGCAAGTTGTTTTTCTAGAATTGCAAGTTGCTCTTGATAGTTGCAAGTTGTTTTTTAGAATTCTCAAGTTGATAGTTGCAAGTTGCTCTTGATAGTTGCAAGTTGCAAGTTGTTTGCAAGTTGCAAGTTGTTTTCTTGATAGTTGCAAGTTGCTCTTGATAGTTGCAAGTTGTTTTAGAATTCTCAAAAACAACTTGCAATACGACCTCTGCCACTCCTTTCCCTGATCCGCGGGGAACTTGAAGTTTGAAGAGAAAGGAATAGTTGGACTAGGAAGTCAAGAGGTATATATAGTAGTGGGAGTAACGGAAGGGGTGGCTGGGCTCTTGGCTTGGACTATTGACCTCCACCAATAAGTTGGATTGGAGAATTATTGGAAGGTCCCAAAAATCATACTTAATCTTCGGCTTTTCAATAATCTCCTATCTAACCATGCAGACCAGATAATTTGGCCATGGTTGAGTTCCCAACCCTGAACTAGGGTAAACCTTATTTGTGCACCAAATTAACCAAGAATGGGTGGTTATCTTTACATGCAGCATACAAGAGGAGTAGTATAGTAATTTGAAATGACCCACCCCTTCCCTCCGTACCGGGTATTCCCTTTGCTATTCATCACAGTGCCCGTGGTGTTTTCCCCCCTTGCCTTCTGCCCTCTCTCCACCAGGTGTTCCCCCTGCTGTCCATCATAGTGCTAGCCGTGTGGGAGGCAATGAACACATGCTGGCAGACACGTTCGCAGCCATGGACATATTTCTCATCGAGATACAGCTGCTACTTCTCAACCCCTCTTCCATACTGCCCTTCCATTCCCCCATCTCCCCGCTCCACCCTTCCCCTCCCCTCCAGGTGTTCCCCCTGCCGTTCATCATAGTGCTAGCCAAGTGGGTGACGATGAACATGCTGGCAGACACGTTCGCAGCAAGGGACATATTTCTCATCGAGGTACAGCTGCTCGCAATGGTCGCCTCCCTTCAACTGCAAATTCCCTCTCCCCTCCTGCTCTCCCGCTCCCCAGGTGTTCCCCCTGCTGTTCATCATAATTCTCATCGTGTGGGTGACGATGAACATGCTGGCAGATACGTTCGCAGCCATGGACATTTTTCTCATCGAGATACAGCTGCTCACAATGGTCGGCAACTTCAACCTCAACTTCCCCGCCTCCTGGGTCAAGACTGTCGTGCTACTATACAACATCGCCGCGTTTGATCCTGTGAGTTTCCCTGCCGTTGTCGCTGTGAGTGGCTCTCAAAGATGGGTCAAGGCTGTCGTGAGAAGCGCCGACTTTTTTGGTGGACTTCAAAATCTTGAGTCGAGATTAAGTCATGTCATGCTACTCTACAACTTTTGGCGCGCAATCTTTGATGTTGATTTCAAGATTTTCGACAGTTCGTGGACTCAAAAGTCGGTCATGAATGATGGTTGACGACGCTGCGATGTTCGTGACTTTTGAGTCGACTCAAAAGTCAACTCGGTCATGATGGTTGACAATCGTGCTGCTTTACAAGCTCAACTCAAAGAGCGGGGCAAGACCGTCGTGCTACATGTCAGTGTCTCTGCTTTCATTACAATGAGCGACCATTGTTGTGGTCTAGTCGCAATATGTTTGAATGTGCCTAATGCGAAGGCTAGAGTGCACGTACAGATGCAGCAACAAATTGTGTGTTTAGGGATATAGGGTTTAGGGTTTCATTATGGCCTTCAGTTGGCAGGTTGAATTTCAAGAGACATAATATTAGAACGACGCCGCGCTGTTGGAATCAAGGGATGAAGGTATGGTACAGAGTTCTGGAATCAATTTGAATTTGAAATGTTTTCCTGCCTCTAAAAACCCCCGAATGCGAGGTTCAGGATTGTGAAAAAAGTGCATGTTCTTTCAACCACAACTTATCTACTATTTTCGCTATCTTGATGTTTGCCACCATGGTATGCTCCAGGTATAGTTTATTGCTTAGGTTAAGTCTCCATAACGAATTCTTTGTTGAACATGGCTAAGTCTCCATAAAGAAATCTAGGGCTTGCATTACTTCCCTCTTGCACGCTGAACGTTCGACAAAAACAGAAAGCGCACATAGCGCTCACACGGTGTGTCAACATGCGACTAGATAAAAGGGTCTCGACATGCACATGCAAAACTATGGTTCGCCACACAATCTACGTGAACTGAGCCGTGTTTTAAGTTGACTCAAAATGAGAAGGGTCTCAACACGCACACACAACACTATGCTTCGCCACACAAACACTGATAACAAAACTTATTGAGCTCGCATATAATACAATTCCATTCAAATTGATGCACGTGCACAAGGACAAGAAGACGAGTTCAGAACATGCGGTTGCACCAACAAGCGTGACATAACAATGTCGTTCCAAACAAGGTATACAGTACTTGGTTGTCGGAATCAAGTGGGGTCAAAACCCTTCACTACTAATAATCAAGTGCATTGATGCCTTGCTCCAACATGACACGAGTCTGCACTGTAATGTGTTACATGCACGCACCTCCTTCCATGAATCCTCTTCCCTCCCTGCCCTTTACCCCCTGGCAATTCCTGCCGTGATTGGAGCATCAACAGTCACAAATCACCTGACCTTCCCACTTCTTATCTCTTCATTTCTCTCCCCCCTCCCCTTCTTTCTCCCGCAACCTCATCCCTCCCCGCTTCCCCTCATCTTCCCCTTAGCAGGACATCATCGGGCCAGAATGCATGTCCACTTCTCCTTGCTGTTCACCGGGCACATTCTTTTCAGTTCTCCTCTCCGCACTACAACTCTCCTCACGACTTTTTCCTCCCCCCCGCCCCCTCCCCCCTCCCCCCTCCCCCCTCCCCCCTCCCCCTCCCTTCCACTCTTTCCCCCTTCCCGGCAGGACATCATCGGGCCAGAATGCGTGCTCTCGCTGCAGTTCACGGGAAAATTCTACGCCACCCTACTCATCCCCGTTATAGGCCTCCTCGTTTACGCGCTCATGTTTGTGCACCACCGCTGGCTGGGCGGCTCATTCTTCGTGCGCGTGCACTCGTGGCAGCGCAAGGAGCGCCAGCGGCAGCGCCTGGCGCTGCAGCGCTCGGTAACGAAGCGGCGAGCTTATAACGAGTACGAGAACTCGATCGTGCACGCATCGCTCAAGTGGCTCGACATCTGCTATACATCTGTGATGGTCAAAGTGCTGGAAGTCTTTAAAGTGAGTGGGGCTTTAAGGTGAGGGGAAGGGGTGATGGTGCCGAAGTCTGTAAATTATGTACCTGTTCATAGGAACGACGGAGAAGGGTCGGGAAAAGATGCGAGCCAGTAGCAGACGGGCGCCCTACTGACGAGACTATGTTGGCCAACAATCACCATCCATACCGAGTCATGGTACTGATCCGAGCTATCGACCGCACCCGGACGAATAACATAGGTAAACACATGGACCACCCCGTGCTAGTAGTAGGGAGGGTTAACAGCTACAAAATATATATTTATATATATATTTGTTAGACGGTGGGGCGAGCCACGGTCTTGTCAACCTGGCAACAACAAAAAACATTGGGGTGAAGCTGCACCGATGTCTGCCAGAAAATTGACACAATGTTGGTGGATGGGACACCGCATTCGAGATGAAGCGCGAAAAATTCGGATGAAGTGTGGCGACAATGCCAGGTTTGGCAAGGAAATTCTGGTGGCAACATTGGACAGTTGCGACGTGGTGCTGAGACGCGACTGGCTGCAACGATACGATCCGCCGATCGACTGGACGACAGGAGCGTGCAACGTGCGAGGAAAAACATGGCTGATAATTCTTTCGAGATGGACGGGCCCGGAGCCTGTGACAACACATGTCAATGTCGTCACCATTCGGCAAGCGATCAGCAAGGGGGCCAGAGGCTATGCTGTACACCTGTACGAGGTGGCGGCCACCGAAAAAGTCGCTGCAGACCCTAAGGAACTGGTGAGAATCATTCGGAGGTATCCCAAAATTTTCTCGGATGACCTGCCCGACGGCCTGCCACCTCAGCGTCCAGAAGACCACATGATACAGTTGGAGCCCAGCGCGCAAACAACTGTCCGGACACAGTGGCGGCTCAGCCAACCGGAGCTTGACGAGGTGCGAAGCCAACTAGATTATCTTCTCGCCAAAGGTTTTATCCGGCCGAGCACGTCACCGTTCGTAGCACCGCTTCTGTTCACACTGAAGAAGGTAGGAGGCCTACGCATGTGCATTGATCATCGGGCGCTGAATCGAGTCACGATAAATTCGCGTTACCCGATCCCGCAAGCGGACAACCTGCTGGATCAATTTCGCGAAGCCCGCTTCTTCTCAAAGATCGATTTGCGAGGAGTCTACCACCAAATTCGCGTGTTCGTCGACGACTGCCCGAAGACTACTCTTTGCACACGTTACGGCAATTACGAGTATACAGTGATGCCGTTTGGACTGACCAACACACTCTCTACTTTCCAGTTGACTATGAATAGGGACTTTAGGGACATGCTAGACAAAAAAAGACATTGTCTATTTCGACGACATCCTGGTGTAGACCAAGACAAAAGAGGAGCATTTAAATGACTTCGAAGAAGTGTTTCAGCGCCTACAGCAGTACCAGCTCATTACGAAAGGCTCTAAGTGTGAGTTCTTGAAGCCAGAGTTCCTTGGGTATGTGGCTTCGGGCGAAGGCATTAAGCTTGACCCTCGCAAGGTGGAAGCAATCGATAAGTGGAAACTGCCGACCAACATCACCGAGTTGTAGAGTTTCTTGGGGCTCATGAATTACGTCCGTCGATTTGGTAACCAAGCCTCTAATCGACTTGTTGCACAAGGTCACACTCAAAAACATTTTGAGTTCACCCCTGGTACTCCACCTTGCCGACCCATCTCGACCGTTCGAAGTCATCACAAACGCACACTAGGGATTTTGCCATTGGCGCTGTCCTTCTACAGGAGTTCGGCAAAGGGCTGCGACCAATCGCATACAAATCACGAAAAATGCAACCATCCGAGCGCAACTACCTAGTCCACGACAAGGACATGCTGGTCGTCGTCCATGCATTCCGTACCTGGCGCTGCTACTTAATAGAAGCCTACGTGACGATCCAAACTGACTACAAATCGCGTTAGTACAAACGCACACAACCGACACTCAACCCGCAACAAAACTGGTGGTTGGACTACCAGGAATCCAACTCTAGCTACACCATCACGTACAAGAAAAGCGCCAACAACATCGCCGACGTCTGACCCGCCCACCCATGCAGACGGCAGGGGTACTTGCTGCCAGCACCAACCCGACGGGACTATTCACCCACGGATATACGATCGACATTTTTTTCAAGAATCTTTAACAACGGGCTACAACGCAACACGGGAAATATTACCTAAACGCCAGTACGAACCGAATTTGGGTACCCGTCTACCAGCCGTTATGGGAGTTGCTGACGCAAGAGTTTCATGACTCCAACCTCTCCGGGCATTTCGGCATCGACAAAACACTGAAGCTGCCGCAGTGGAAGTACTATTGGCCAGACATGCTGACGGACGTGCAGCGCTACGTGACAACATGCCCGACCTGCCAAGCTATGAAGTCGTCACGGCAACGATCGGCCAGATTTTTCGAGCCACCCGAACGACAGTGGCAACACGTAACAATGGATTTTGTCACAAGGCTCTCGGCTGGCCAAGTGGCAACGACTCGGTAATGGTCGCAGTTGACCGTTGGCTTAACGAAAATGGCGCATTTCGCACCATGATGCACAACGATCACAGCCGAAGATACAGCGAAGCTGTTCATCTCCACCGCCGTACACTACGCAGGTTACCTTCGAAGATCATCAGCGATCGAGACCCAAAATTTACGACGCAATTCTGGTAGGAGACATGGGCACAGTACGGCACCCCCATGCTGTTTTCATCGTCTTACCATACCGCAAACCGACGGCCAAACCGAAAGGACAAATCAGTCCATGGAGCAGCTGATATGCACCAATTGCCCCAACCTGTCCAAGTGGGAAGACCCGCTTCCGTTACTGGAGTTTGCATATAACAATGCACCCTCCGCAACGATCAAACAGTCGTCATATTACCTGAATTGCGGGATAGACCCTGTGGTACCCTCATCAAAGACCTTTGACAACTTTGTACCACAATCGTAGCAGTTCGTTATGGAACTTCAAGCAGCCCGCGATAAAGCAGACAATATTATCAGAAGGGCTAATACCGCCGCCAGTCGCAAGGCGGACAGACACCATCGGGATTTACCCTTCGGTTCGGGACAGGTGGTACTTCTAATTACGAAATATCTTAGTTTGCCCCAGCCTACGAAACTTCCCCCTCGCTACGTGGGACCATTTCGCATCGTTCAGATAGTGACACCTGTCACGGCGAAGCTACTACTCCCCGATGACTGGAAAAAAAATGACGCATTTCACGTCAGCCTTCTGCGTCATTACGAGGCACCACAGTCGCGCAACGTCGCACGACCTAACATCGCGCCAAGTGTTCGATTCGACCAATGGCAAAACCCACGCTCGAGCCCTGGAAGATTTTGGGGGGGGGGGGGGGGGGGGGGGGGGGGGGGGGGGGGGTGTAAGAAATTCTTTATATTCCCTTACTTAGTCACACTGTACGCGTACCAACTCCGGTTTTCGGATTTCATTCTCGGTCCGATGACCTAACCCTCCGAACCACCATCGCCTTCGGGTTTTCCAACCCCAAACCTGCACCCAACCATTTCGCGACTCCGTGACTTCGGCCTAGCTAGCTTTGCTATATTGGTGCTAGGCTTCACTATTCGCTCAGTCATTGTATTTTGTATCGCTCAGTTATTGAATCGTGCGCACTCTTCTTCATTACAACTCATAACACAAGCTGATAACTAACTGCCATGCTGGTAACTAACTGCCATGCTAGTAGCCAACTGCCATGCTGGTAACTAACTGCCATGCTGGTAACTAGCTGCCATGCTGGTAGCCAACTGCCATGCTGGTAACTAACTGCCATGCTGGTAACTAACTGCCATGCTGGTAGCTAACTGCCATGCTGGTAGCTAACTGCCATGCTGGTAGCTAACTGCCATGCTGGTGACTAACTGCCATGCTGGTAACTAACTGCCATGCTGGTAGCTAACTGCCATGCTGGTAACTAACTGCCATGCTGGTAACTAACTGCCATGCTGGTAACTAACTGCCATGCTGGTAACTAGCTGCCATGCTGGTAGCTAACTGCCATGCTCCTTCCCCACCACTGTGCCATCTCTCCCACATGCTCCCCTTCCTCCAACCCTCTCACCACCCTTCCCCTTCCCCCGTGCAGTCCCATGAAATCGGTGAATTAACACGGATGGCAGCAACACCACAGATACTTCCCACACCCATATGCTCCCTCCTAAACCCCAAACCCTGAACCCTAAACCCCCTTTCCCTTTCACCTGTGCAGTCCCAGGAGATCGGCGAATCAACGGTGATGGCAGCAGCGCCACAGATCGTGTGGCTGTCACCAGTCCACGTGGGCATGCTGGTAACCGCAGTGCTGGTTACGGTGGTGTACCTGGTGGGGCTGCCTCTGCTGTTCGCTGGCGTGTTAGTGGATGCTCACACGTGTGACGTGCTCTCCTCCACGCTCTTTAAGCAGCGCTTTGGCTGGCTCACCGAGCGATTCCGACCCAAGTTCTGGTGGTGAGTACAGCGGTGGTTGTAACAAGTGCTGGTGGGGTGGTTGCTGTGCTGTTGGTAACTGGTAGCAGGTGTTGGCTCACCGAACGCTTCCGACCGAAGTTCTGGTGGTGAGTACAGCGGTGGTTACAAGCAGTGGTGGAGTGTTTGCCTCTCCTCTACGCTCTTCAAGCAGCGCTTTGGCTAGCTCACCGAGCAATTTCGGCCCAAGTTCTGGCGGTGACTGGAGTGGTAGTGGTTGGTGATGGTGGGTATGTGGAATAATGATTGCCTTTCAGTAGCTAATAGCAATAGTAGGGTTGCCTTCAGTCACCTGCTGCCCTGGTGGGGTTGCCTTTGCTGTTCACTGGCGTGTTGGTGGATGATCTCACGTGCGACGTGCTCTCCTCTACGCTCTTCAAGCAGCACTTTCGCTGGTCTACCGAACGCTTCCGACCCAGGTTCTGGTGGTGAGTGGCACAGTGATTATGAGGAATAGTACTTACGTGGTAGGCCACTATTGCGAGTAGTGCTGGTTGGTGTGCAAATGTGCGAGCAGTGGGTCGGGCTTATTCCCATTCCCCCGGTATTGGGTGCTGCATTGGGCTTGTTCCACAAGCCCTATTCTCCATCATCCCATCTCCCATTTCCTTTATCTCCCTCCACGACTGCAACTCGCAGGTGGCACCTGACAAACATAGGCATGAGGGTGCTGCACGGGTGCATCCTCGTGTTCCTGCAGCAAGAAACCGAGTCACAGGTAAGTGCATGTTAAAAGGCCCTTAGTGCATGATAGCACTCCCATAGTCTCCCCTACTGCTTGGAATCATGCTGCTTTCTTCTATCCCATGCTGCATGGGTGCATCCACGTGTTCCTGTTGCAAGAAACTTGGTCACAGGTAATTGCTCAGATGCATGCGCACCCGTACCTTAATCAAACTTACACACCCCATTGTTTCAGGTTCCTTTCCCGGGGCAGATTGATGATGTTAAGTAAACATTCTGTTACAATCAAGGACGTAGTCTAGGAAGATTATCTCTATAAGAACCCAACTTTCACCCTTTTTTATTTCCCAACCTCTCAAATCCACCTCACCCAACTTGGCCACACTTGCCAATCCGGTTTGGTTTCTCCCAACCCAACCACTTGGCAGCAAACTACAATAGAGTGACGAAAATTTCCACCCACCCAAAAGTCTATACAAAGTCACTCCATCAATTCCCAAAATTGTCACAACTAAATATCAAAAGCTTTTAATCGTATGTAACTTTCTCATCCATGCTCCGATCGCGGCGATTCTTGGTTCGTCGAAAATCCTTTCAGCAAAGAAGTCATTTCAGATATCTGTTCAAACAAAATAAAATCCACAAACATTCACAACATCCAAACCATGTCAAACATAATTCTTGCACACGCTCGCACCACGCATGCAACACACGAAGATATGATGAGAGTCAGACAGACGTGAATGCACATGATTGCATCACACAACACATTCTTCTTCTTCTCCTTTCCCCCCTCCTCCCATTCTCCCCCACAGGTCATAATAATCTTGTTAGTTCAAGCCCTCCGCATCGCCACGCATTACAAGACCGCCCCACTCGCCTCGCTCTCCCTCGAGTACCTGCAGGCCTTCCTCACTCTCGGCCAGTTCTTCTTCACCCTCTCCCTCCTCTCTTACAACTACCTCTCCCTCTCCTTCTTCTCCCAAATCCTCTTCGGCTTCTCCGCGGCCTTCATCCTCATCCCCGCTACAACGCTACTCGTTTACGACGCGATAAACAACCATTTAGAGCTCGCGAACGCGCGCATGCTACAGCGGGTCTGGCGAGCCGAGCGCAAGCGACAAAAGGCCCGGTTCGACAAAATGGACCCGTACGACTTAGTGCCAGCGCAGGAAATCTGCTCATGGTTCCGGCCACACATTATCTTCGCGACCCTCCTCTCCAAACGCACGGAGGAACGTACGTTGCTGCTCCGGGTACGGGACCGGTTCGAGACGTGCCGATTGGTGGGTTTGGCGCCTATGGATTGGCTGAACCATTTGAAGAAGCCGCAGCTTTATGCGGTGCTGGCGCAGGCGTTGCTGGGAGCGAGCACGGGGCATGTGACTGTAGCGAGGGTGCCTAGAGACGGGTGGTTTTGTCGGGAGCATGGCGCGTGGCATGCGGCCGGGGAGGATTGCGAGGGAAGGGAGGGGTCTGGAGGTGTTTCGGGTGGTGGAGGGGATGGTTCGGGGAGTGGTGAGGGATTGAGAGGTGTGGGGAGGGAAGGGAGAGAGGGGAGTGTTGGGAGGGATGGATTGGGTCCTCGGGCGGGAGATGGGATGGGGAATGGTGGGGTTGGGATTGAGAGTGGTGGGGAGGACAGGCGAAACGGTCAACTTTCCAGGTTAAGCGGGCAACAGGGAGAAGATTCTTCAGGTGAAACTCAGGTGAATGGTCAGGTGGACACGCAGCAGCCGCTGCTGCAGCAGCAGCAGGTGACAGGGAGAGACACATGGCATGAGCTGGATGAGTCTGAAGTATGGCCACCTCAGCTGGAGAGCCACGTCATCTGGGCGTCTGCCGGCGTGGCTGCTGCTCCGTCAGCAGGAAGGGGGGAAAGAGGGAGAGGCCTGGGCGGAGCAGGATTGGACGGAGTGGGAGGAATGGGAGGGGGAGTGGGTGGGGGAGGGGTGTGGGGAGTGAGAGGAGGGGGAGACGGACTAGGAGACTTTGACACGGCAAGTGTTGGGAGTGATAGCAGCAGTGAGAACAGCAGCACGAGCAACAGCAGCGGCAGGGGGTTGACCCTCAGAAGCATGGGAGGTGTAGGGGGCGCTGATGCCTTTGCTGCTGCTGCTAGTAGGGCGGGACTGGGGCTTCGTGTTGGGCTTGTAGCAGCAGCAGGAGCAGGAGCAGGCGGAGTGGGAGTGGGAGCAGCAGGAGGGCCGGTGATGCGAAGGACCCCGTCGATCAGAGTGCAGAACCTGGTGTCGTGGGAAGAGACCCCTCATGAAGGCTTGCCAGAGCACGGGCTGCGGGTGTTGCAGGGATGGAGGATCGGGCAGCGGCAGCGGGTGGGGCTGCGGCAGCAGCAGGGGCAGGGGCAGCAGCAGGGGCAGCGGCAGGGGCAGGGGAAGGGGGAGGCGGGGTGGGGGGGGAAGGGGAAGGTGAAGGGGCAGGGGCAGCGGGGGAAGGAGGCGGAGGGGGTGGGTTGAACTCAGAGCGGGCTGGAAGGAGGCAGCGGATGGGGGGGTGGTGGGGCAGGGGAGTGCGGGGGACTGGAACAGGGCCCGGAGGTGTGGGGACCGGTGGTGCTGGTGCGGGTGTAGGGGATGCAGGAGCGGGAATGGGGGCAACAGAGCAGCAGCAGTTCCAGCAGCAGCAGCAGCAGCAGCAGCAGTACCAGCAGCAGCAGCAGGAGCAGGGGGGGCAGCGAGGGGGTGCCAGTGGGGGAGGGGAGGAGTGCGTAGAGGCGCGAATGAACATGGGAGCGCTGAGCCTGGCGTTTCAGAAGCACCTGGCGCTGCTGGTGCGAGCTGAGAGGAACCGCAGCAGCGAGGCTTTGAGGCTGCTCGTGTGCTCTGAGGCTGTTCCTTCCATCCTCAGCTGGCTCACCAGCGCTGAAAGGTAAGCATGTGGAAGCAAGAATGAACTCGAGTGGTGGAAGTGTCAGAACTTAAAGCTTGGAATCCACGATAGCCAACGAATGGATGGGGAGAGAAATCGGGGTTTATTTCTAGGGATTGGGGGTAATCCCAAGGCAATCTCCAATTGGTGGGTTGGAGATTGCTTGGAGATGACATTTGAGTTTGATTGGGATGTGGGTGTACACCCAACCAAACACAAAGTGCAAACTCCACTACGCTAGGATATAAAAAGTACGAATACAAAGTGTGAGATTGAGGGCTAACACTAACAGGAAGCACTGAGAAGACCCGCAGCAGCGAGGCCCTGCGGCTGCTGGTTTGCTCTCAAGTGGTCCCTTCCACTTTGAGCTGGCTTACCAGCGCTGGGACGTGCGTTGACCCTTACTAGCGGTAACACATCCAGGTAAGCAGTGTGTTTGAAGCACCAGTGCGAGCAGAGAGCAGCCACAGCAGCGAGGCCCTGCGGCTGCTCGTGTGCTCCAAGGTTGTGCTCGCCATCCTCAGCTGGCTCACCAGCGCTGACAAGTGGGCGCTGTGCTGCCTCATTAGGCTCAGAAGTAAGGAGCCGTTTTGAAGCATTTTTTTTTTCGAGACGTGAGCAATGCAAAGTGAGCTCCACCCGACCTGAACAATGCTGAGAGAAGAAACGAGCCCCTCTCAGTTCCAGTCCAATGATCCTCAGTGCGACTGGTGGCTGCACGGTTTGGCTAACTCCCTCTCCCACTTCATGTCCCTGCTGCTCCCCCACTACTGCAGCACCCAGGAGGATCAGATGCTGCTGCGAAATCTGTTGGTGGCAGTGCGAGTGGTGTAATGGCTGCATGCTTGAACTTACTCCCTCTCATTTGCTTCACCACACAGCACGAGGGAGGATCAGATGTTGCTGCGGCAGCTGCTAATGGCGGTGCGGTGCGGGTGGTGATGGCTTGCTGTAACTTGCTCCCATCCTTCCCATCTCCTTTCCCCGCTCATGGGCTTCCCCACAAAGCACGAGGGAGGATCAGATGTTGCTGCGGCAGCTGCTAATGGCGGTGCGGTGCGGGTGGTGATGGCTTGCTGTAACTTGCTCCCATCCTTCCCATCTCCTTTCCCCGCTCATGGGCTTCCCCACAAAGCACGAGGGAGGATCAGATGTTGCTGCGGCAGCTGCTAATGGCGGTGCGGTGCGGGTGGTGATGGCTTGCTGTAACTTGCTCCCATCCTTCCCATCTCCTTTCCCCGCTCATGGGCTTCCCCACACAGCACGAGGGAGGATCAGATGTTGCTGCGGCAGCTGCTGATGGCAGTGCGGTGCGGGTGGTGATGGCTTGCTGTAACTTGCTCCCATCCTTCCCATCTCCTTTCCCCGCTCATGGGCTTCCCCACACAGCACGAGGGAGGATCAGATGTTGCTGCGGCAGCTGCTGATGGCAGTGCGAGTGGCGGCAAGTGAGGAGGCTGGAGGGCTGGACTGGTGGAGTGGCGTCAAGTGCTTCTACTCCAAACGAGTCACCTTCAAACGGGACAAAGCAGCCCCTGTAGCATCGGCTCCCACACCCACCCCCGCACCTACGTATGATCTCGCTCCTTACATGCCTGCTCCATACCTGTATATATAACTCATGTATGCGCCACACACGCATGATTCGACCAAGTGTAGAACACACATGCATGAATCACACAGGCACTGATCACTCACTCTTGGTTTGAGTATGCATAAATCACACATGGGTATGTGTCACAAAAATTCTTATCACATAAGCCCATATCACATAAGCCCATATCACATAAGCCCATTTCACATAAGCCCATGTCACATAAGCCCATGTCACATAAGCCCATGTCACATAAGCCCATATCACATAAGCCCATATCACATAAGCCCATATCACATAAGCCCATATCACATAAGCCCATATCACACTCGCCCATATCACACATAAGCCCATATCACATAAGCCCATATCACATAAGCCCATGTCACATAAGCCCATGTCACATAAGCCCATGTCACATAAGCCCATATCACATAAGCCCATATCACATAAGCCCATGTCTCATAAGCCCATATCACATAAGCCCATATCAAATAAGCCCATAGCCCATATCACATAAGCCCATATCACATAAGCCCATATCACATAAGCCCATATCACATAAGCCCATATCACATAAGCCCATGTCACATAAGCCCATGTCACATAAGCCCATATCACACAAGCCCATATCACACAAGCCCATATCACATAAGCCCATATCACATAAGCCCATATCACATAAGCCCATACATAAGCCCATACATAAACCCATATCACATAAGCCCATATCACATAAACTCATATCACATGAGCCCATATCACATAAGCCCATATCGCATAAACCCATATCACATAAGCCCATATCACGTGAGCCCGTGCCACATGAGCCCATGCCACATAAGCCCGTGCCACATGAGCCTCACATGATCCATACGCATATCTCTCTCTTCCCTTCCCCATGCTCACATGCACGCATAGATCCCATGCATACTGCCACCGCCCTTCCCACCAGTCAGCATCAAGTGTCGTCTCATCACATTCATTTTTCAACTGTGTTTTGAGTCGACTCGGAACCCACCAACTTTCCATGCTTACTGCCATCGCTCTTCTGACCAGTCAGCATCATGTGTCATCTCATCGCCTCCATTTTCTCCTCCTGCCGTCCCCACCATCTCCCTCCAGCACCATTGAACTCGCCCCGGTTACCACCTAGCAGCGACTTTTGATGCGCCTCAAAAGGTCTCTCAAGGCGGAGGGCTCGCCCCGGTTACTGGGTTGAATGCAGTTGTGCTGACAAAGGTTGCTGCTAGGTGCCCTCAAGGGGTGCTGCTGCTAGGTGCCCTCAAGGGGTGCTGCTGCTAGGTGCCCTCAAGGGGTGCTGCTGCTAGGTGCCCTCAAGGATGGCTATGCTGCTGCTAGTGCTCAGTTGTACAGATAGCCATGTGGTTACCCTGGACTACTGTTTCGTGTTGTAGTGCGGTTGCTCTTGTGCAATCCGCTGTGTGCAGTTTCTGATAGCCCATCAGTTCTTGTCAGATGTTGAGGAACAAAACAGAACAAGCACTAGGAGGATGCTTGTCCACAACACAAATACGGTACAAGGGAGAATGACAGAAGGATCAATGTTACACTTTTTCTCAGCTGTGCTGTATATTGTCATCCAAAAAACGATTTCTTGCTGTTTTCTTCCAAACGCTTCTCCCTCTGTCACGCCACATATGGAAAACGGGGGAGGAAACGGGAGGCAGATGGGAAGAGGGGGAAGGGGGGAGTGGGCGAGGTGAATAAAAGCAAGGAATTGGACTAGCCCAAAACTAGAAGCATGTATGTGCCCTCCCATGCCCCATGTCCCTCTCTCATGCATCACCTCCCATGTATTACCTCTCATGCACCATGTCCCATGCACCATGTCCCATGCACCATGTCCCATGCACCATGTCCCATGCACCATGTCCCACGCACCATGTCCCATGCACCATGTCCCACGCACCATGTCCCACACACCATGTCCCACGCATCATGTCCCACGCACCATGTCCCATGCACCATGTCCCACGCACCATGTCCCATGCACCATGTCCCACGCACCGTGTCCCATGCACCGTGTCCCATGCACCATGTCCCACGCACCATGTCCCATGCACCGTGTCCCATGCACCGTGTCCCATGCACCGTGTCCCATGCACTGCACACTAAAGACCCTCACATCTTGTTTCCGGCACTCCTTGTATGCGTCGAATTTGTCCTCGCACTTGCTCTTGTCGTAGCCGTTCTTATCCAAACCTGGACACAATAATAGCGGGAATGAAGTGAACGAGCTTGCTTGGACACAATCAACGGCTGGCGTTTGGTGCACTACTTACAGAATAAAAATGCACCAATCTTGTGATTGCGCTTGAAGGTGATATGCAGGAAGCGTTATCGCGAGGTGTTACGCGTGCGTGTTTGAGTTGGTACGGGTTAACTTTTCGCTACGGTGTGAAGTGAGGAGAGTGGGTGGATAGAGGGCGTAGTCACTAAATTTCCTAGCGCGTCGAGCGGCGGAGGAAGCGGTCGTACATTTCAAGGAGTCCGCGTAGTGCGCGGCGCACATGTGATCGGACATGCGACCCGTCCGACGCGCCGCCTCTGCCTCGCGCGCGGCGATGGCCGACTGTTCCGTGGAACCCGGCGCCGAATCCGCCATCGCTTGTCTCTTCAGAGTACGAGTTACTAATGTAACTCGCGCTCCTAGGAACGTCGTCCGTTTTCGCTCCCTAAGATTCAACGTAACGAAGGAAAGCAAATCGACGGACGGTGAAACGATACGCTACGAAAACAGCACGCTACGCTCTCGTGAAAGCTTCTCCCTAGTTCTGCTCTCCCTCTTCCGCACCTGCTAGTGCGTTTGATTGGAGAAGTCCCAGGCACGTCACAACGCGTCTGCGACTAGTTTCGGGTCGGAAGGTGGCCAATCAGGTGACAGCTGTGCTGTCAACGGCAGCAGCTGGCGGAAACCGAACGCGAAGGAGCAAAGAGACGCAAGCAGCAACGGAAGGAACAAGCAAGCAAATGCGCCTAGCCTCGTGTATCTGTGGGGACGTGTATTGCGCTACGAGCAAATGCTCGTGTCAAACCATTTGTAACCAGGTCAATCTCTCCTATCGTTATTGAATCGCTAAGACGAAAACGACCTGGCTGATAAGGCAAGAGAGAAGGGAACAGACTGTCGCGAACATTGACGACCACGTGTCACATGAATTCTGTGTTCTGATATCAGCCATTCAAGCATCCTTGATTGTCATTAAAATCGATACTAACCCCTTGCCCTTTTGAGAACTCACCTAAGTATTGTGATATGAACCCCTGAGTTCATTTTGTTGTGCCTTGCATCTGCGAGTTCAGGGCGTGTCCAGCTCGTAAGTTTCCAGTTCATTTTGTACGGTTGACCGCTTTGCGTCACGGTGCACAGGGGTAAGAATCTAAAATCGCTTTGCACCTTTTGATATTGTTTTGAACCAAGGTAGATGAACTGTATATGAACCGAAAACGTACGAGCTGGACACGCCCTCAAAGTAGTAGTTTATGACCAGCTCGCATGCTCTGATTTATGGTAGGTTTCTCGTCGCACCTGACAAACCCACACCGTTTCTCGCACGACCCGATCGCTCCACTTTCATTCCGACTGTGGCCCTCTCCCTGTCCTCGTAGCGTCGGAGGTTTGAATCGCATTTATTCCTTGGAATGCAATTTTCTCAGGATCCTTATCAGAATTCCGTGTCACTGTATAGAAATTCCCTTCGAACAAGACATTTGGGACGTGACAGAGTGAGCTTTTTGCATAGAAGCCTCTGAGATGGAAGGTGCTCAATCGGAAGGAGCAGCCCCCCGCGTGGCAGTTGCTGCGTCGTCGGAGCTCGCGGCAGGGGAGGCGAATGGCGGAGATGCACGCGCCGATGGCGGAGCTTTGAGCGCGGATAACGGCGCGCGCGGGGAAGACGAGAAGGGGGGAGGTGGAGAGAGAGACGAAAGCAGAGTAGAAAAGAAAAGCAGAGAGGGAGGGAGCGACAAACGTGATGGAGAAGGAGAAAAGCGGGATGGCGGAGAAAAGCGAGAAGGCGGAAAAGGGGCGGAAGACCGAGAAGGAGGGGAAGAGAAAGAGGGATTAAGCAGCGGCAAGGTATCGGTTAACGCTACTAACGGGGAAACAAGCGCGCAGGACGCCAAACCAGAATCGAATAACGTTATTAACGGGGACGCGAGCGCGCAGGATGGCAAGCCGCTGTCGAAGAACGCGCAGAAGAAGCTAGCGAAGCGGCAGGCGATGCAGGAGCGCAAGGAGCGCACGCGCGAGGAGGCGCGGATCGCGCGCGAGGCGCAGCAGAAGCGCGCGGAGCAGGAGGCGGCGGCCGCGGAGGCGAGCATGACGCCAGAGGAGCGCGCGGAGGCCGCCGTGCGGCAGCGCGAGAAGGCGGAGGCGCGGCGCGTGGCGGAGGCGGAGAGGCGGAAGGCTTGGGCGGAGAAGGCGGAAAAGGGTCCGGGGCTGATCATTGATCTAGAGTTTGAAGAGCTGATGGGGGAGAGGGAGTTGTCTAGCCTGCAGCAGCAGGTGAGGGAAAAATGGAGGGTTAAGGTTTCAGGGTTTTGACGTATGGCACCATGGTGCAAGGGGAATCAAGGGTCCGGGACTGATCATTGACCTGGAGTTTGAAGAGCTCATGGGGGATCGAGCGAGAGCTGTCGAGCCTGCAGCAGCAGGTGAGAGGGAAAACAAGGTTTTCGAGGTTTTTGGTTTTAGCTTATGGCACCATAGTGCAAGGAGAAGTGATCATTGACTTGAAGTTTGGTAACTGATGGGGGAGGGGGAGTTATTAAGCCTGTAGCAGCAGGTGAGGGATGAAGGTTCTGGGTATTGGGTTTCTCTCCTACCGTTCCTCCCTTCGCCCGTCAGGCCTCCCTTCCACCCGTCCGATCATTTGTCCCTTCACAATCTTCCTTTTCTTTCCATACCCGACTGCTCGCCCCCCAACTCACCCCCTTCATCCTCCTCCCCTCCACCCTTCCCCCCCCTGTCGGCACCAGGTCATGTTCTCCTATGCTCTCAACCACCGCGCCCCCTCTCCCTGACGCCTCACCCTCTCCGGCCTCCCCCCAACCAGCCCCTTCCTGCACCGCCTGCAGCGAATCGCCGGCTTCGATACTCAACTGGTTTGCATAATCAACGGCTTTCCCCCTCCTCTCCCTCCAAACCCCCACCAGGTCATGTTCTCCTATGCCCTGAACCACCGCGCCCCATCCCCTTGCCGCCTCACCCTCTCCGGTCTCCCCCCAGCCAGCCCCTTCCTGCTCCGCCTGCAGCGAATCGCCGGCTTCGACAGCTGGCACGGCGTGACTGTAGAACCGCGTTCTTATATTGAAGCCTGGGCGGGCAGGGAGGGGGAGCTGGTGTATTTGACAGCGGATGCGGAGGAGGAGGTGGGGGAGGTGGAAGCGGGGAAGGTGTATGTGGTGGGGGGGATAGTGGATCACAATCGGTACAAGGGGCTGACTAAGGGGAAGGCGGAGAAGCAGGGGATTAAGACGGCGAGGTTGCCGATTGGGAAATACCTCAACTTGAAGACTTCCAAGGTGGGTGTTCAGAGCGGTGCAGTGCGATAGAGTGTGGTGCGGTGCGGTTTAGTGCATTATAGTGACATGTAAATGCATGTGGTGGGGGATAGTGGATCACAATCGGTACAAGGGGTTGACTAAGGGGAAGGCGGAGAAGCAAGGGATCAAGACAGCACGGCTGCCCATTGGGAAATACCTGAACCTCAAGACTTCCAAGGTGGGTGTGCAGAGTGGCACAGCACGGTGCTGTGCAGTGCAGTGCGGTAAGATGTAATGTGTTGAATGGTAGACATTGTGGGCTGGGCATGACAGGGACTGGGAGAAGAGCTAGCTGTATGACAATCGACCATGTCGCCCCAGCGACCACTTTCCTCCCTAATATTGCCTGCAGCACAGGGACTCATGGCCTTTGAGAATTCTCAAAAGGGACGTCACAGGTACTGGCAGAAGAGCTAGCTGTATGACAATTGACCATGTCTCCCCACTCACTCACCAGTTTCCCTCCTATCCCTTTGCCCCGTGCAGGTGCTGGCCTGGCCGTGAACCACGTGGGGGGCATCATCCTGCAATACCTGCAGCACAGGGACTGGTGGTGATTTGTGCAGGAACTTTATACCTCCGTTCCGTTGCTTCCTTAACCCGTCTCCGCCCCACTACATCCCACTCCACCCCACACCCTCCTCCCAGGTCCTAGCAGTGAACCACGTGGTGGACATCATTCTGCAGCACAGGGACAGGGAGAAGGCAGTACCGGGTGTTGTGACAATTCACCATGCTGTCTGTGTCACCCTTTCAACCCCCTCCCCGGCCCAATCTGTTGGTTCCACGCAGGTACTGGCCGTGAACCACGTGGTAGATATTATTCTGCAGTACCTGCAGCACAGGGACTGGGAAAAGGCAGTGGCGGCTGTTGTGCCTGATAGGAAGAAGACCGACAGACCGGAGGGTGACAATAAGGAGAGTGATACTGACGCTAGAGAAGCCAAGAGGGCTAAATGTGAGAGCAAAGAATGATGATGTGACTGATTGTTCAGGGGTTGTGGGGTGCCTCAATTGTTTTGACAAGTGTATCATGCGTTTGGCAATTAAGCATCAATGTAAGAGATGCATAGGTGATGCAAAACCCATGCGAGTAATGTTGACATCCGGCTTAGTTAAATACGGATGCATTTGAACAGGCGAGAGCTAAGTAGGTCAGCGTACACCCTGAAGAACAAAACAGTACAGTAAAGTATCTGCGTTCGGCAATATCGGGGTCCTGCATCAGTTTCGCATCGTTCCCCCCAGCCTGCGTTTCCTTCGCGACTGTTCCAAAACCCAGGCTTCTCTCGTCGTCATCACCAGTCAACTCACCTTGTGCTCGTGAATTGCGTTGCGTTTCTGGATTTAGCGACGCGGCTGGCATGGCGGAGAGATTGACGCGTGTCTCTCCGAACGCGGTGTTACAGCCTTTGCGATCGTCCAGCGTTAGGTCGTCTTGCGAGCGTAGCGAAAAAGGAACGGCGAGTTTCACGAAAGGCGGTTACCATATCACGAGTCGTGCAACCATTGGCGAGCTTCCCGATAGGTCCAGCACCGCGCGATCAACCCGAGCGGGAGCTCTTCCATCTCATCCTCGAAATAATCCGTCTCGTTCACATAAACTAGAAACATTACGAGAGTGCCATCCGTTAAGTTTCTCACGGAGCTCTGCTCGCTTTGAAGGGACAGCCGACACGGGAGCTGATCAACGGTCATCCTTCGCGCAGGCTGGCAGTGCGAACAGTGCGAATCCGCGATCGCGAAGGTCGCGAAGTTCGCGAGGATACTTTCAACGATGCCAGGCTGGCACGGATGACTCGGCGCGCTTCACGAGCTTCGAGCGCGAGCAGGAGGGCAATGATGCGGAGGAAAGGCGGCGGACGGCAGCTGGGCGGCAGGCCGGTGGGCGGCCGGGCGTGTCGTTTTCTGCAGCTGGCCGGAACGGCGACAACAGTTTTAACGGCGTGTTCCTGCTGCTTCTGCTGAACCTTCTGGCGTTCCTAGCGGATCACTTTCTACGGGTATGACTTTGCAACGGATAGTGCTTTTGAGCCGCCTCGAAACTTGCTATTGGTGCCGTCGTGCCCTGCGGCTTCTCATTGAAAGACGTCTTACTCTTAACCGTCCGACACACAGATAGCATTTGTAAACAATCCTTTTTGGATCATTTGCAACGGACGCCGACAAACAGCCTGATTGTCACTCACTAGTTCAACCCATTGCTTCCTTTCTCCCATGCATTTCACATACGTAGCTCCTTCCCTTCTCCATAGCAGCCAAACAGAAAGTAACTGAACTTATCCATACCTCTTAGGTCTATCCATTTGCGTCTTGCGCTTCTCTCCTTCCCTCTCTCCCTTCTCCGCTGCTCCCACCAGCATCACCTGCATCACGCCGCTCCGCGCTGGTACCAGTTTGTTACTACTCTGTCCTGCCGTTCCTTCTTTTCCTCCCTCTCCCCTCCCCCTCCCTCCGCTGCTCCCACCAGCTCCCAGTGTGATCGTTGCTCTACCTGCATCACGCCGCTCCGCGCTGGTACCAGTTCGTCACCTCTTCTGTCCTGCTATTGTGTTCCGTGCTTCCCTGCCCGCCCTCCCTGACCCCACCCCACCAACCAGCTCCCAGTGTGGTCATCGCTCTATCTGCATCATGCCTCTCCGCGCTGGTACCAGTTCGTCACCTCAACATTCTGCCACGCTGGCTGGTGAGTTGCTTGACAGCTGTCGAGTCGTCATTGGTCCACTCGAGCGGATGTTCTCTGCCTTTAAAACGTTTGTATTTCTAAGCATGAATATATGCCGCGTGGCAAGCTTATTCGCCATGTACCATTGTTATTCTTATGTACCTTTCACTGTATCCTCTTACCGTATCCTCCCTTTTCCCCCTTCCTCTCCCTCCCGTCCTCCAACAGGAGCCATCTCTCAAGCAACCTCTTCTTCCTCTACATATTCGGTACGCTCTCTCTCTCCCCCCCTCCCCTCCCCTCATGATAAGTGTACGCAAAGAAGTGTATTGAGGTGTGTCATAGCATCTCTCACGCAACCTCTTTTTCCTCTACATATTCGGTACGCAATCTTTTTTTCTCCTTCTCCCCTCATCGTTCCCCTTCCCTTCTCATCATGCGTGCTCACCTCCCTGCATCGCACTTTTATTCTCAGTGTCCCACCTCCATCCGATTTTCCTACCTCTATCCCTCAGTCTCCTCTCTATACCATGGCTCCACCTCTCACACACTCACTCTCATCACTCTCTCACTCACTCCCTCACTCTCAGGTCGGCTAGTGGAGGAGGAGGAGGGAACGCTAGGCCTATGGGTGACCTACCTCGTGACAGGGGCAGGCTCCAATCTCGTATCCTGGCTGCTCCTCCCATCGTACACCGTCTCTGTCGGTGCTTCTGGTGCCGTCTTCGGCCTCTTCGTCGTCAGCGTCCTCACTCGGGTAAATGCTGATTTTAGTAAGGTGCAGTGCGATGTTGGGCTGTTTCCAGGGTGTGCCGGTGGTAGTACAGAGTACGTCCTAACAGGGACAATTCCTCCAACCTTGTCTCCTGGCTACTCCTCCCATCATACACCATTTCTGTCGGTGCTTCCGGTGCCGTCTTTGGTCTGTTCGTTGTCAGCGTGCTCACTTGGGTAAGTTCGGATGATTAGGATGGTGCAGTGCGGTACTGGGCTGTTTTCAGTGTGTGCTGGCTGGTACAGAGTCTCCTGGCTGCTCCTCCCATCGTACACCGTCTCTGTCGGTGCCTCTGGTGCTGTCTTCGGGCTGTTCGTCGTCAGCATCCTCATACGGGTAAATGTCTGGTTCCAGAAGGGTGCAGTGCGGTGCTGGGTTCTTTTCAATGGGCACTGTGATGTGCTGGGCTCTGCACGGAAGCATAGAGCAGAATACAGGGTGTGCGCCCTGCGCTTTCAGTCAATGAACGCTCCTGTTGCCCTCTTTGTCCCGTGCGTTCATTCCCTCTGCCGCTGCAGCTGCAGTGGAACTGGAGGAGGATAGTAGAAGCGACGGTGCTTGTGATGTTTTGAACTTCAAACGTGTGATGTTTTGAACTTCAAACGTGTGATGGTTTGAACTTCAAACGTGTGATTGTTTGAGCTTCAAACGTGTGATGGTTTGAACTTCAAACGTGTGATGGTTTGAACTTCAAACGTGTGATGGTTTGAACTTCAAACGTGTGATGGTTTGAACTTCAAACGTGTGATGGTTTGAACTTCAAACGTGTGATGGTTTGAACTTCAAACGTGTGATGGTTTGAACTTCAAACGTGTGATGGTTTGAACTTCAAACGTGTGATGGTTTGAACTTCAAACGTGTGATGGTTTGAAACGTGTGGATGATGTTTCCGCCACTGAACCGAACGCTCCTTGTGTTAACTCTTGCTCTCTTCTCCCTTTGTTTCTTGCCTTTCCTGCTGCAGCTGCAGTGGAACTGGAGGCGGATCGTGGAGGTGGTAATCCTGGGGCAATTCATGATCGTGACCTTTCTTGAGATGTTTCGAAACCTGTGTGATGGCTTCTTTTGTTAACTGCTGTTCTCTCTCATCCCTGTGTGTCTTGCCTGCTGCAGCTGCAGTGGAACTAAAGGCGGATAGTGGAGGTGGTAATCCTGGGGCAGTTCGTGGTCGAAAAGGTGAGAAGAGGAGGGGGGTGCGGGCGTGGAGGCAAGTACGAGGGCTGTTTGCAAAGTAGGGACATGTTTGACGAAGTGTTTTGAGACACGCGTGGCGGCAAAACACTTGTTCAAACACGTGGCGGGTGTGGAGGCAAGTACAGTACGAGGGTTGTTTGCCAAGTAGGGAAGAAGAATTGGAGGAGGGTCGTGGAGGTGGTCGTTCTGAGGCAGTTCGTCGTAGAGAAGGTGAGAGAGGGGAGGAGGGGGGAGGAAGGGGGATGAGAGCGAGGACGGGAAAAGAACCTGTCCTGAAAGAAAGGGGTAGTGCTCCCCCCCCCCCCCCCCGCCCCGCAGGTCCTGTCAGAGGCTCGTAACTTAGCATTCTTGGAGGGGGAAGTGGGCATAGCGGCAGGATGGGGAGTGAACTCTCAGCTGTTATTCTCCCTCCTTTTCCTGCAGGTCCTATCAGAGGCACGTAACTCAGCAATCATGGGAGTGGGCATGGGGCGGCAGGATTGGGAGTGAACCACATCGCGCACCTGGCAGGGGCGCTGGTGGGAGTGCTGCTCATCTGATACTCTTTCATCCTCCTCCTGTCCCTTCCTGTCCCTTCAACCCTCTCTCTCCCACCACCACAGGTGCTCTCAGAAGCCCGTAACTCAGCAATGTTGGGGGGCGTGGGCATAGCGGCAGGTTCGGGAGTGAACCACATCGCACACCTGGCAGGCGCGCTGGTAGGAGTGCTGCTCATCTGGCTCGTGTCCCGCCTGCCTGATAGTGGCAACAGCGGCAGCAGCAGCAGCAGCAGCAGCAGGGATGGCGGGGAGGGGAGTGGCAAAAACCCTCGTGTGGCATAGCTTGATACTCCTCTGGCGCTGGCGGGAGTGCTGCTCATCTGGCTCGGGTCCCGCCTGCCCGATAGTAGCAGCAGCAGCAGCAACAGCAGCAGCAGCAGCAGCAACAGCAGTAGCAGCAGGGAGGGCCGGGAGGGAGGCAGCAGGGATGGTAACAGCAGTCCTTGACTCACATAGCATGCCGTGCACCTGCTGCCCTTGTACTACTCTTCGTGCTCCTCTGCTGCTCCTCATCTTGCTCCTGCTTCGCTTCCTTGGGAGGTGAGGCAGCAGAGATGGCAACCAGGGGAGTGGCTAGTGGCAGGTGCTATTGTCTTGTGCTCGTTTCTTCCTCGTTTTTTACATGTTAAGTGTTGTTTGATCGACATAGTGGAGTGCTCGACTGCTTTCCATATGGCTCCTGCCTATCCTCTCATTGGATGGGAGGGGAGCTTCCTACCTATCCTTCTAGTATAAGTGCAAAACTTGGACACATGGGAGGGGAGCTCTGATAGCAACACAGTGCGGTACCATACTACCGTATTCCAATCCAATCCAACAATACTGTATCATGCTGAGACAGACTCACTATATGCATCGATTCTCAGCTAGACATGGACCAGTAGCACAACCAACTTCCAAATCCTCTATTCGGCTAAATTCGCGAGCTCAATACTCGCCTGGTCCTTTTGCTTCCTTTGTTTGTTGTATCCAAACCACAGGTTGAATAAAATTCTGGTATCAAACCTTGCAATTTCAATCCTACACAATCGTTTTTGTATGGAAAAACCCAAACGGCTTTCAGAGTTACCGTAAACTGGTGCCTGTGGTTTGGTCCGATGCTGGATGTTAAGTACGGACTACAGCAATTTCAGGACAGACTCTGCTCTGCTGGACCTCCCAAAATCCCGTTACGGTACCGTATATTGGTCAGTATACAACATATTAACACTCTTTCTCATCAACCTAGGAATACCACCAGTCCACTTTGAAATATCAGCCGAATAAAGTATGCTCATTTGCTCTTTCTGAGAAGAGCGCTAAACTAAACAGCCCTGCTGATGCCTCCTGTGCTGCTGCCTGCGTGGCTGTCGCTCCACTGCTGCTGCTGCTTCTCGATTCCTACTCCTGCGCCCCAAACAGCCCCCAGTCGTTAATCTGGAAAAGGGCAAGCAACCGTTGAAATACCTGCCCGCCACCTGTAGCCCCCGACACCCCTGTTAACGCCTCCTGCACTGCTGCCTGCGTGACTGTCGCTCCACTGCTGCTGCTCCTATCACCCCAGCTGCTAACCCTACTCCTGCGCCCCAAACAGCCCCCAGTCGTTGACCTGGAAGGAGGCAAGCACCCGTTGAAACACCTGCCCGCCAGCAGTCGCTCCCACCACCCCTGCTGATGCCTCCTGCACCGCTGCCTGCGTGACTCCTGCCGTCCCAGCTGCTGCTGCACTCTCACTCCGCTCACTTATGAGTGATTTCAACGAGGAAATAAGGGGACGGGGGGATGGAAAAAGAATATAAAGTTAGGCAGGGAAAGGGAGGGGCTGAGGGGAATAGGTCAGCTGCCTGCCTCCGTCCTCACTGCTGCACGCGCGACTCCTGCTGTCCCTGCTGCTGCTGTTGCACTCTCAGTCCAGTAACTGAGAGGCGGTTTTGACAAGGGAAAGAGAGGAATGTAAGGGCGATGTAAGGACGGTAGTAGGCAGAAGAGGGAACGGTCAGCTGCCTCTTGCACTGCTGCCCGCACGACTCCTGCCGTCCCTGCTGCTGCTGCCGCACTGTCAGTCCGCTGACTGAGAGAAAAGTTTCGGGAGGAAAAGAGGGGAACATATGAATGGGGGACGGACCACAGTTTAGATGGAATAGGAAGGAGAGGGAATAGGAAGGAGAGGGAATAGGAAGGAGAGGGAATAGGAAGGAGAGGGAATAGGAAGGAGAGGGAATAGGAAGGAGAGGGAATAGGAAGGAGAGGGAATAGGAAGGAGAGGGAATAGGAAGGAGAGGGAATAGGAAGGAGAGGGAATAGGAAGGAGAGGGAATAGGAAGGAGAGGGAATAGGAAGGAGAGGGAATAGGAAGGAGAGGGAATAGGAAGGAGAGGGAATAGGAAGGAGAGGGAATAGGAAGGAGAGGGAATAGGAAGGAGAGGGAATAGGAAGGAGAGGGAATAGGAAGGAGAGGGAATAGGAGCTGTCTGCCTCCCGCACTACCGCATGCATTGATCCTGCTGTCCCCGCTGCTGCTGCTGCAATCTCACTCCGCTCACGAATTGAAGAACTCCATGAGGACAATAGAAGAACCAAGGATGGAAAAAGAAAGGTTGGCAAAGTAGATGCAAGGCATGTATATCATTCACATTGCCTAATCGACTGCATGGCTGAGGAAATGAGATAAAAAAAAGAGGGTGAAAACGACTATAATGGAAACGAAATCGGATCTGCGTTTGCATTGGATATGATGTGCGATGCGTGCCCCACCAGGCAACAGGAAGTAGGTACCTGATAAAGAGTGGCTCGTTAACGGTTATAAGCAGGTCCGTGTGCACGTTGCGCAGGCGAAGATTGGCCAAGTACACCTGGTGGTGGTGAGTGAGGGAGAGCGGATTTTTGAGGCGCCTCAGAACTTGAGTTGATTGATGTGCATAAGCATGTATGTTTGCTGTGCAATGTGCACGTTGCGCAGGCGAAGATTGGCCAGGTACAGCTGGTGGTGGTGAGTGAGGGAGAGTGGAGGGAGGGGAGAGAGAGGGCGAAAGGGGGAAAAGTGAAGTGGGGAAAGAGGAAAGGGGATGAGAAAATTCTCTTAGCACAGCAAAAAGTGAAGAAGCGAGATGGGGTAAGGAACAGATCCGGAGATGGGGTGACATAGCAAGCGGGACAGGACAGAGGGCGAGTGGTGGAAGCATATCAGACCAGCAAGGGTAGATACTGGAAAGCAAAGGGACGTAAACAAATAAAAGATTGACTTACCCGAACCACATTCAGAGCTTCGGCACCTTGCCGGCCCTTGGACACAGTCTGATTTGGTTTGGACACAGCAGGAACAGACAAGAAAACGGGGGGAGGGGGGGCGGAGTGAGGGGAGGGTTGTTGGTTGTGACGTTAAACGTGACAGGCACAGGCACATGGAAATAGTGAATCAAACACGACGTTACATACAGAGGGGCATGGGAGACATGGGAGACATGGGAGACATGGGAGACATGGGCCTTGGACAAACCTGGTGAGCAAGGCGCAGCTGCACAGAGGCACATGCGAGAGTTGCATGCAAGAGTGCTGACTGACGCCATGCAGTGCTGACTGACGCCATGCAGTGCTGACTGACGCCATGCAGTGCTGACTGACGCCATGCAGTGCTGACTGACGCCATGCAGTGCTATCTCTCAGTCCAAGAATTGCACTCGCTTTTGAGAATTCTCAAAAGTGACCCCACACGAACTCTCAAAAGTGACCCCACACGAACTCTCAAAAGTGACCCCACATTACCATTCTGCCGACAGCATAGCTCTTGAAGACAGAAGGGTCCACATGAGGGCAGTCGGCAGGGGGGATGGGCGCAGCAGACTCAAGTGCCTGTGGGGGTGATCGCACAGGGATGGGGCAATATTGCTCTTGAAGATGGGGGCAGCACGTGAGGGCAGTCTGCTGACATGATTGGAGCAGCAGACTCAAGTGCCTGTATGGGTGATCACACAGGGATGGGGCAGTATTGCTCTTCAAGACTGTGGCAGCACCATTCTTCCCTCCCTTCCCACAGCATAGCTCTTGAATACAGTGGCGCCCATGTGCGGGCAGTCGGGAGGGGGGATGGGCGCAGCGCAGCAGACTTCAAAGCCTGTATGGATGGGGATGAGAATGGGTTGGTCACACACGGATGAGGTGAGACACACCCGAATGGTGCAGCATAGCTCGTCACTACGGAAAGGTCCACATATGGCCGATTGGCAGGGGGGATATGGCAGCAAATTCCAGAACCTGCACGGGTGTGGGATATGGGTAGATTATACATGGATGGGGTGGGACAGACACGCATGGAGCAGCATAGCATAGTGCTTTGAGACAGAGACCGTGCACACGAGGGCAGAGGGAAGATGGGAAAAGAGCGCTGCGGGGTCGACACATAAAATGGGCACGTGTGGGGCGGGGTATGTGTGGTGCGGGGCAGGTATGGGGCGGGGTATGTGTGGTGCAGGGCACGTGTGGTGCAGGGCACGTGTGGTGCAGGGCATGTGCGGGGCACCCACCTTTCACAACAAAGAAACATCTTAATCCCCATCTTACCATCTTACCATCCCATCAGCCCACCCTTCACAACAAAAAAACATCTTAATCCCCATCTCGCCATCTCGCCATCTCGCCATCTCGCCATCGCGCCATCGCGCCATCGCGCCATCGCGCCATCGCGCCATCGCGCCATCGCGCCATCGCGCCATCGCGCCATCGCGCCATCGCGCCATCGCGCCATCGCGCCATCGCGCCATCGCGCCATCGCGCCATCGCGCCATCGCGCCATCGCGCCATCGCGCCATCGCGCCATCGCGCCATCGCGCCATCGCGCCATCGCGCCATCGCGCCATCGCGCCATCGCGCCATCGCGCCATCGCGCCATCGCGCCATCGCGCCATCGCGCCATCTCGCCATCTCGCCATCTCGCCATCTCGCCATCTCGCCATCTCGCCATCTCGCCATCTCGCCATCTCGCCATCTCGCCATCTCGCCATCTCGCCATCTCGCCGTCTCGCCGTCTCGCCGTCTCGCCGTCTCGCCGTCTCGCCGTCTCGCCGTCTCGCCGTCTCGCTCGCCGTCTCGCTCGCCGTCTCGCTCGCCGTCTCGCTCGCCGTCTCGCTCGCCGTCTCGCTCGCCGCTCGCCGTCTCGCCGTCTCGCCGTCTCGCCGTCTCGCCGTCTCGCCGTCTCGCCGTCTCGCCATCTCGCCATCTCGCCATCTCGCCATCTCGCCATCTCGCCATCTCGCCATCTCGCCATCTCGCCATCTCGCCATCTCGCCATCTCGCCATCACTCCACGCTCCCCCTCAGCCCCCTCAGCCACTCACGCTGCCCGGCTGTGCCTCCTTCGATACAATACCATGAACCCTTCAATACAAGATATCATGCCCTTCCAGCCCGCTCAGCTAGCCACTTACGCTGCCTGGCTGTGCCTCCTGCTCGCGCATCAGATCCTCCAGAAACCACCTGCACGAATCAGGTAACTTTAGAGTCAACGCAAGAGTTACCCACCCACCCTTCACCCCCCTCAGCCCAGTCAGCCACTCACACTGCCCGGCTGTGCCTCCTGCTCACGCATGAGATCCTCCAGGAACCACCTGGACGAATCAGCGTCCGCCACGTCAGCCTTCATCTCCAAAAGCTCGATCACTATGCTCTCGTCCCGACTGGCATCCGCAAACACCTCCTGATAGCAGCAGAGGGGGGGGGAGGGGCAGGGAGGAGGGGGACGGGGAGAGAGGGATGAGGGGAAGGGCGAGGCACAGTAGTTTGATCACTATGCTCTCGTCCCGACTGGCATCCGCAAACACCTCCTGATAGCAGCAGAGGGGGGGGGAGGGGCAGGGAGGAGGGGGACGGGGAGAGAGGGATGAGGGGAAGGGCGAGGCACAGTAGTTTGATCACTATGCTCTCGTCCCGACTGGCATCCGCAAACACCTCCTAAACGCCCGGGGGTAGGTGGGAGGGAGAGGGGGGTGGGGGAGGAGGGGGGAAGCGGATATTTGGGGCGCGAGGAAGAGAGGGAGAAGAGAGAAGAGGGGGAGAGGGGAGGGGGGGGGGGGGGAGGGGGGGGGGGAGGGGGGAGGGGGGGGGGAAGGCGCGGCAGGGGAAGGAGAAGGAAAGCGCATGTCAAGGTAGTGTACCCTCATGTTTCTTTGTATACACGGAATCCTTTCTACATTTATACCTTTGAAAACATCGACTGCTGCTGAAAGTGTAACGAATACGGAATGTGGAATCAATCCACCAGTAGTCAACACGGATTCTGGTTTTCTCAAAAACCAAGTGTAACGAATACGGAATGTGGAATCCACCAGTAGTCACCACAGATTCTAACCCGTCACACTTTTCAATACCAGTTCCTCACCTGCTTGCTCCCTCACCTGGTTGTTGGGAACTTCCCGGAAGTTACTGATGTCCTGCCAGCCAGTAGAGGGAGAATAGCAGAGCAACGGTGAGAAAATTCTTAAAAGCACGGCAAGCGGGCAATATGCGATGCGATTATGTATGTGTTATATATCGAAATGCATGGTTGCATGAAACGAGCATGGAGAGGTGGGAGGGCACGCCAGATGTCAAAACCGAAAAAAATGCGTACTGAGTATCACCTTTTAGATACGGCCTACCAAATGAACATAGTACGTACGTTTCGTTCGACAGCAATGCTCGGCGACTGAGTCGTGTTCGCAGATGTCAAGAACGGATTCAATCATAAGCGACTCACGCACCTCAAATCGCGGCGGGAAATCCGCCTGAATCGCACCGCCGAACAGCGCATGTCGCTGCGTCTCCTCCCCCGCAGGTCCCGCCGGCATCTGCGGCTGGGATTGCATCGGCGGATGCTCTTGCTGGCACGCTCCCGGCACCCCCATGGCTCCTGAGAGGTGAGTTCCGTGCTTGCACGGAGTTTGACTTGCAAGTACGTGGGACGTTTGCTTGCACGAGCTTTTACTGCTTTGCGCTTGAAACAACTTCTTGCTATAAAGAAGCCTCGTACTGTTTCGTCGCTGCTATTCCACCTCAACAGCCTTCCGAACCGACATGGGTAGGACCTCTCTACTCTGCTCAATGTCGCAGGAGGGTCATTCTCGATTTAGGTCAGGTCAGTTAAGGCCATAGTAACACGGGTTTGCGTAGTGCTTTATCTCTCGCATGATAATCGCTGAGTCCACTTAAAAGATACAGAAAAAAACAAAACAAAACCTCTATTGAAATCCAACATGAGACTTACTAGCAATAAGCATAGGCAAATGTTTATCGGTAAAATATTTAGTAGCTGTGTTCAATGCTTCCGTCATACAATGTATAAATTCAACGACAAATGACTGAGTTACCCATTCACCTGTAAGCTGTCACAGATTTATAACAAGAACGGGAATCTGCACAACGGGTACTCAAGTTGTCAACACACACCAGTGAGGCCGAGTCGGCACGACAGTCGTCTAGAAGATATGCTGGTAGGAAGGCCTATAATATTCCTAGTGAAACACCACTCGCCTATCCTAGGGATGCTCGCATATCATGGCTGGCGTTCAACGTTCCAGTGCGAGACTTTCCAACCGCCTTGAGAATACCGCTTCCAAGACCTCCAGCTCAATCGCGTCCCGGAATTTGGGTGTTCCCAAGGAAAATCAATTGCTAGGTAACCAGTCGCAGCCATTTCGCCAGGGCAAACGGTCATGGCTTGGATCACAATCTCTTTTAACGACCGGTTCGGGAGGCAGATGGAGGATTCCGCTACGGTGGCTCGGTCAGTTGTTCGTTCAGGCGATTGTGCTTATAGCGGTGGCTCAGTTCGTGCACGTCGCCACGCTCTCCAGCTCCCGATGCAGTGGAGATTTGAGTTCGCTAGAAGCGAAGCAAGGAAGAGGGTCGGGAACGTGGAGATTTCCGGGTTCATCTCAGCCGTTGATTCAGGGATCTCAGGAAAGATCGGCTCATCTGGAGCTCGACTTGTCTTGGCGGTGCAAACGGGTGCTGAGCAGTGCGACAGATGGTGGTAACGGTTCTGTGGTAACCAGCTCACCATACGAAGGAGCCAATGTTACAACTATCACATTGCCTGCCGGTACCGTGTCTTGCCAAAGGGAGCTCCGCACAGCGCTGCAGAAGTGGGCGAAAGAAGCAGCGAAAAGAGACTTCGCGAGCAGCAGCAGTAACCACAACGACGACGGTGGCGAAGCTCTCAAAGGCAAGGATAATCTCGACTGGAAGTTCAACCAATCACGCTCGGCAGAAATCCAACTGGATGCAGTGCAAGCACGTGGCGACCTGGGCCACGTGTGCTCCCCTGATTGGCTGAATGGTGTCATGGCTCGTTTACCTACCAGCAAGTACATGATCTCGTCGCTGAAGCGCAATAGAATCACAAGGGGGAGCCTCTTAGCGGGGATAAGATCCTCATGTGATGAAATCAGAGCGGTGGAGAGGGGTTTGATTGATGGCATCGCGTCAACAAACAGGACTGGTCAGAACGTCCGTGGCAGCAGCAGCAGCAGCAGCAGCAGCAGCGTCGGCGGCAGCAGCAACAGCAGCAGTGGTAGTGGTGACACTAGTGGTGCTGACACTAGTGGTGGTGACAACCACGGAGCAGCAGAATGGCCTGAAGCATGCTGGCCCATCCCTGGCGTGCCGTTCAACATATACTCGGTCGGTATAGTCACTGCTCACTTGTACTGGCTTTCTGCACCCCACATTCCCACACCCACATTCCCACACCCACATTCCCACACCCACATTCCCACACCCACATTCCCACACCCACATTCCCACACCCACATTCCCACACCCACATTCCCACACCCACATTCCCACACCCACATTCCCACACCCACATTCCCACACCCACATTCCCACACCCCACATTCTCACACCCACATTCCCACACCCACATTCCCACACCCCACATTCCCACACCCACATTCCCACACCCACATTCCCACACCCCACTTTCCCACACCCCACATTCCCACACCCCACATTCCCACACCCCACATTCCCACCCCACATTCCCACACCCCACGTTCCCCACCCTCCACATTCCTACACCCCACATTCCAACGCCCCACATTGGTTCACCCCGCATTGCTACACCCCACACTGCCGCACCTCACACTGCTACCCCAGACTGCTACACCCCACACTGCTACACCCCACATTGCTACACCCCACATTGCTACACCCCACGTTGCTACACCCCACACTGCTACACCCCACACTGCTACACCCCACGTTGCTACACCCCACATTCTCACACTCCATACATCCAACAGAACAGGCCACATTTTTTTCCTTTCTTTTCCTTCATCCCCAGTCTTGTCCAAAACCTTGCTGTTACTTCGACAGCTGATCCCCCCTTCTACCTATCCACCCACAACTTAACCCTTCCCTTTCCCGTTTCAACTCATTCTTCCCACTGCTTCAGCCCTTCTCCCAGCGTCGCTACCTGGTGCTGGCGGCAGTGACAGTGCAGTTGAGCAGGCAACCATTACCCGCCCTTCCCTGCCTCTTCTCCTCTTCCCTGCCTCTTCTCCTCTTCCCTGCCTCTTCTCCTCTTCCCTGCCTCTTCTCCTCTTCCCTGCCTCTTCTCCTCTTCCCTGCCTCTTCTCCTCTTCCCTACCCATAATTGCAGCCCTTCTCCCAGCGTCGCTACCTGGTGCTGGCGGCAGCAACAGAGCAGCTGAGCAACGCGCGGGTTCACCTGGTGGAGGCAGCAAGATTGGCCAAGAGAACGGGGCGGATCCTGGTGCTGCCTAAGGTAAGGAAGCTCCTTTGCTGCACCGCTGCAGCCTGCTCACCCACGTAAGTGTTACACTGGGCAGCGCGGGAAGCATTATTGTGTGACGTTAAACAACAATTGATACTTTCTTTTCGTTCTTCCTTTCGTTCTTTCTTTCTTTCTTCCTTCCTCATTCTGGCGCAGCAAGTTCCATATGTTTCTTGACTTGCCATCCTTGTCGTTCCCTCAGTGCACCATATTGAACTGCCAGTCAGCAGCTCTCACATCTCGATGTTTTCCCTTCTCTCCCTTCTTCCCTCCCTCTTTCCCTCGCCTTCCACTGCAACCCCCGGGAAACCAACAGCCACACCTTTCCAGGCCTGCCCCTCCCATTTTAAGTTTTCCTTTCATCTCGCTGTCTTTCCCCCTTCCCACCCACTCCCACAATGTTTCATCCCACCCTCTGCCACCCCCAGGGGGCAAACAGCCGCATCTCCCTCGGCCGACCCCTCCCCATCTGCTCCTACTGGGACATTTCCCGCTTTACCCCCTACGAGTGGGTGTCCCCGGAGTTCTACCTCCTCGCAGCGCAGGCCACCCTCACACGCCCCTCTGTGGGGTTCGTGTGGGTGCAATCCCCCAACATGATCGTGAAAGGGCCTTTCCAGGCGGGAATGGTGGTGGGGGCGGGGGGGCACGCAGGGGGGCACGCGGCGGGGGTGGGAGGGGACGGGGGCGTTGGGCGGGACAGGGGCGTGGGGGGGAACGCGGGAGGAGTGGGGCGGGACAGGGGAGTGATGGCGGCGCTGCTGGTGCATGCGCTGGGGCATGTGCCGTGTGCCAGCAACACTCTCCATGTCACCATGCCGGCTCGCAGCGATGCCATCATCAACATGCTGCATGCGTGGTGAGTGTGGTGCATCAACAGCGAACTCCTTTCCCTGCGCTGCCTGCCCTACAGCCCTCCGTGTGATGCGGTCCTCATGGCTCAAGCCACTCAAGCCACTCTCTCTTGCCTCTCTTTCCATCTAATTTGAAACTCCTTTGTCACTGGGTCCAAGCAGGAGGGACAAGGGACGTCATTGTGTGGGTGGAACACGGCCCCTCACGAGTGGAATTCCCATCCCTTCACACACCCTTCTTCCTCTGCTCCCTTTCGCTCACCCCACTCCCCCTTGTCTCCCCTACCTCTCAATTTGTGCAACTTGCAACCCCTGGGTCCAAGCAGGAGGGACAAGGGACGTCATTGTGTGGATGGAACACAAGAACGGCCCCCTACAAGTGGAGTTCCCCATCCCCTCACACCGCATTGCTCTGCGCCACCTACCCTACAGCACCCTTCTGCACCGCACGGCACAGCACGGCGTTTGATTGTACGGCTGGACCCACTCCAGCCACTGCTGCCACTTGAGCCACTCACAGTTGTCTCCTCTGTCTTCTAATCTGAAATCCCCTTGTTATTCGGGTCCATGCAGGAGGGACAAGGACGTAATTATATGGGTGAAGCACGGTCCGTCACGGGTGGAGTTTCCTATCCCCTCAGACCGCATTGCACTTCGCCAGCTTCCCTACAGCACCCCTCTGCACCGCACTGCACAGCACATTGTCGCCCGCCTGCCCAAGCCCCTCATTGCCGTGCATTACCGCTCCGAGTGGATCGCCTACAGAGTGGTGAGTGGTGGTGAGTGGTGGTGAGTGGTGGTGAGTGGTGGTGAGTGGTGGTGAGTGGTGGTGAGGGGTGGTCGTGGCGGTTGTGCGGCGGTGGTGTGCTCTCTGGCAAGCCAGCGGTATGTTTAGAAAGCCCCTGCTTTAATTCCTTCCGTATTGTCCATCTCACCACAGGCAAAGACGATTGGCAAGGCGCCATACGGGCAGAGCGACGTGGGAAAAGGCGTGCGAGTGATGGCTGCAAGTACCCTGTCCCTCTCCCCCCCTCTCACCCTGCCAACTCTCATATCACCCAGGCAAAGACGATTGGCAAGGCGCCATACGGGCAGAGCGACGTGGGAAAAGGCGTGCGAGTGATGCGGTGGTGTGCGGAGCAGGCAGTGCAGACCATCCTGCAGGCTCAGCAGAATAGCAGTGCCAACAGCAGTGCTGCATCTGTGTACATTGCAGCCGATGTTCCTTCCACTGTACCCGCTCCTTTCACTGCAGCCACTCCTTCCGATGCAGCCGTTGCTCCATCAAATGGCCCTTCCCAAGAAGGCCCTTCCCTAGGAGGCCCTTCCCTAGAAGGACCTTCCCCAGGTGGCCCTCAGACTTCACGTGGTGCCATGCACTCTGCTTCCTGGGCTAGCACGATAGGTGCATATGGAGGGGTGGGGAATGAACGAGAGAGGCTGGTGGACGCGGCTGTGCAAGGGCTGCAGTTAATGAGGCGGTCTATAAAGGGGACGGTGATGATAGAGGAGCTGCTCCCAGAAGCGGGTTCTTACGACCCTGGTGAGTGTCACTGGCTTGCATGCTGAGAGCCTAAGATTTGAGACGTCTCGAAACTCAAAACGCATGCATCCTTGTTGTTGCTTTTGACTTCTGCTGCTTGGCATGCTGCATCTGAGCTCTACTTTTTTTCTGGGATTCTATCACCAGGTTTCAGCATAAGACTCACTCAACAGGCATGTTGGTTCACTCACTTGTGCATCGCGGGAAACTTATTTTTATTGCCTTATCCACGAATTCAATATGACATGTATACGGTAGCAATTTGTATGGTTTGAGTGTGCGCAGGAATGCTAGCAATTTTGGATAAGTTGGTTTGTGCACAAGCGGACTATTTCATTGGAGGAACAGTGGTTTGTGGAGGGAGAAGAGGTTTTGAACACGACATCCTCCAGCATCGAACACTTATAAAGAATGTGACTCAAGAGACGGATCTCAGGTGGGGCACTGAAGATCTTCCATCGGAACTACAATAATTAAATATGCTTTATGCTGTCTGCGTCATATTATGCGCTGCTGCTTATGGGATGTTCCCAACATTTATTTCACTGGTTCTGTCATGCTGTCCCATCTGAAATATTTCTTGCTTGAGTAGAGATGTATTATTCACCAGCATATGTATGAATATTCTATTTGACATGAGTTAACACCCTCATGCTCCGCGTTTGTGTGTTTCGATTTCGTAAAAATCTCTTCGCTTTGTGTCGTTTCACGGGTTACCGCACTACGCGATTTTCTCATCCACGTTTTGATGATTGGACGGGAGGGACCCATTCGATACATGCACATACATACTCTCTACACAGCCTCTGCTGCAGAAAATTCTTCCCCTGGTCAAGCCCTTGAAACAGGCATGACACATCCTTGCTCCTCCGCAACGCAGTTGATTTTCCATCACGAACGAGGTGCCCCCCCGAACCGAAGGTTCCGTCTTAGAAAGGGGCTCAAAACGGTTCGGTTTCAATTAATATCGTTCAGTGCGGTAGAAAACGCGTTTACCAAATCAGTACAGAATTCATGTACTGTAACGAAAATACTGTACAAGGTGTTCGCAGATACAGCCACTGACAAACACCGCCCCACAAGATCCATCTCCCTCTCCATCCACCTCTCATCCACACCCCTCTTCTGGTTACTACTCCAGCCTTCCCTCCACCACCGATTTTGCCTCTTCAAACCTCCTGCTCTGCTGCTAGCCATTAGCCAGCCTCTAGGGTTTGGATTATACACCCTTATTGCGGTTCGTCCAAGCACAGCCTTGTTTCGCAGCCAAGGCTGTGTCACCAGGGCTAATTCATCGCGGTAGATCCTGCATTGTCGGCGTGTTCTTAATTCTTGATCCGGCATTGGCCTCGACTGAAAGGCTCGATGGTTGCGTTTTAGAAGCGGTTGTTGCTGGTGCCAGCGGAAAGGATTCTGTCTTCCGTTTCTGAATGTGCTGCTGCCTCCAGATAAGCCACAATGGAGGCGGACCTAACGAATATGATCGACATCGAGATACGGTGCGGCGGCAATGTGTTGGGAACGGTGGTGATCGATAAAGAGTGGTCGCTCTCCGCTGTGCGAACGGAGATCTTCGCCGTTTTTCCAGGAACGGCTCCAGAGGAGTTTGAGTTTTGGATCCACGGTCCAGGTGAGGAGCCGAAGAAAATTTCGCATCGTCGGGAACCGCATATTTCGGCTGCGGATTTCATGCCTCCTAAGGAATTGGAGATTAGAGCTTTGGAAGACTGAGGGGTGTCTGTTGTCGTTATTTACAAGTTTACTCGCTTTTATGGGAATTTTAGCTGGGGTTTAATCTTCCAAATCGCCTCAAGGTCCATCCACATTAGCATAGGAGGCGAGTTAATGCCGTTCGCGTCTTAGTAAATTTTATGATGTTAGTTCTCTATGACTTTCCTAGTTCTCTGCTGGTTCTTGCCAAGGGTACTGGTACCGGTATCTGAAGACCCATTGCATCATGATCATTTTTTTTATCTCTCAATGAGCACTGCCAAGTAACTCGACTGGTGACTCAGTCAATTACTACCTAATAAGCTACTATGGTAGGTGGCGCTTGGCCAGAGTCATGAAATAATTTAGCATCCAAGATTGCTTATATTTCTTTATTCAACTGCAGTATATTCCAATTCATTTGCATACACGCAGGACCCTTAATGCTGCACATTTAGGAGAATGATATAAGGCAACACATCTCCGTTAAGAGATCAGAGAGCATCTAGCAAGGGAAGCTTTTGAAAGTAACGGGGAAAACTTATCACGTAGGAAGACAGGCTGGGTACTACGGTACATGGAAAAGCAGTACGGTATGTGGAAGTCAGCAGATGAGATGAGACGCCCTGTTTCAGGATGACTACATCACAATGTGGGCACCACACAGAATACAGGTGACACTGCGAGGGACAAGTGTTGCTGACTGGCTGGCACTACGAATCATCAGCATGTGCATCTTTCTTGGAGCGAAAACTCGGCCACAGAGGCTTCATGTTAGCAAGCCCACCCCACCTCTTGCTCCCACTGCCCGAATCCAGACTTCCACTTGCCCCACCAATGTCAGCACCACCACCCCAGCCGCCACCACCAAAACTACCAGCGTATGACGACCGTCTCCTGTTCCGGAAACCATCCGCGCTTTTTTTGTCTGGAGGTGCAAAGGAGCGCCGCCGGCCTATGGCTGCTAGAGACAGCCTCTGCTCGAATGCTCCCTGAGGAGGAGTGCCTTCAGCAACAGTAGGTGCAGTAGCAGTAACAGCAGCACTGGCGGCTGCAGCAGCTGTGGCGGCTGCAGCAGCTGACTCAGGAGCAGCAGGAACAGCAGGAGTTGAAGTGCCAGCAGCAGCAGCGCCAGCAGGAGCAGCAGAAGCGACACCCCTCTCCCTGCCAGCCCCCACCTCTCCCACCCCAATGGTTGTCTTGTCCTCGACTGCAGTGCTGCTCTTGAATATCGTCCGAGGCGACTCCGCAGGCTCGGCTGCAGTGCTGCTTCGGAAAATGGTCCACGCGCCGCGCAGCATCGGGGAGAGAGGCTTGGAGAAGGTCCGGCGAAATTTGGAAGCGTCCTTGGTGGTGGTTGTCTGTGAACTGCCTGCCTCAGTGCCAGATGCACTCCTTTCTACACCTCCCACACCACCCACATCCCCCACACCCCCCACACCTCCCACACCCTCCACACCCCCCACACCTCCCACACCTGGAGATGCACCTAGTAAATCACTGCCGCCAAAATTGCTGCCGGCAAAATCAACAAGATCAGTAGCAGAAGTGGCAGCCACAGCAGCACCATCTGTTGCTGGTGTTCTCGTTGGTCCCTCAGCTCCTGCTGACCTGGTAGCTATTCCTGCTGACCTGGTAGCTATTCCTGCTGACCTGGTAGCTATTCCTGCTGACCTGGTAGCTATTCCTGCTGACCTGGTATCAGCTAAAAGCTCGGGTATGTTGATCCCATTCTCAGACACCTCTGGGCGTGTAGAGAGGCCTGCAGCACCTGCTGCCAAGCCTCCTGCAAAGCCTCCCACCAAGCCTCCCGCCAAGCCTCCCGCCAAGCCTACTGTGGGATTTGAAGCAAAAACAGTCTCTCCTGCCGCTGCTGCTGCGGACCCCACCGTGCCTGCCTCGCCTCTACCCCAAACAGGCGCAATGGTAAGCGCAGACGGGTGGCAGCGCGGGAGAGAGGAGGACTTTTGAGGCGCATCCAAAGGCGTTCCTGCAGCCATCGCCGCGCTACCCCAAGCTGGCGCAATGGCTAATGTAGCGGGGTGGCAGTGTGGGAGAGATAAAGACTTTTGAGGCGCATCCAAAGCTGACGACCCTGCTGTTCCTGCAGCCACCGCCGCGCTACCCCAAGCGGGTGCAATGGTTGGTGTGGCAGGGTGGCGGTGTGGGAGAGATAAAGACTTTTGAGGCGCATCCAAAGCTGACGACCCTGCTGTTCCTGCAGCCACCGCCGCGCTACCCCAAGCGGGTGCAATGGTTGGTGTGGCAGGGTGGCGGTGTGGGAGAGATAAAGACTTTTGAGGCGCATCCAAAGCTGACGACCCTGCTGTTCCTGCCCCTGTGATGCCCCAGGCTGGTGCACTAGTAAGCGCAGAGGGGTGGCAGTGTGGGAGAGAGGAAGAGGGGGACGGGGACAGGAAGGAGGAGAGAGAAGTTATGGAGGTAGCAGCATTGGGAGAGCACGTGGGGACAGCAGGAGGGAAACTATGCTGCTGCTGCATCCCTGGTATTCCCTGCTGCTGGTGGTGGTGGTGTTGCTGCTGCTGCTGCTGCTGCTGTTGCTGTTGCTGATGCTGCTGGTAGTGTTGATGCTGCTGCATCTGTTGCAAACCCCCATCGCCCCAACCCCCTCCTGCATTCCCTATCCCCGTGGCCGCCCCTCCTACCCCTCCTGCCCCTCCTGCCCCTCCTGCCCCCACTCCACGGCCAGCAGCGCCAGCAGCAGCAGCCGAGACAGCAAGAGACGGCGGCGACAGCTGCAGCAGCTGCAACCGTTGAGCCGACGGCCTCCCAACATGCATCCCCATGCCCATCCCCACCGCTCCACCCATCACCACACTCTTTGAATACCCATCCCCTGCCGCCCGGGGAAACGCCCGAGACCTGGTAGAGACGACAGGGCTTCCCAGGCCATACATGAGGCCTGAATTGGAGGGGGGGAAGTCGCACCACAAATCGTCATCTTCACTCCCTACTGAATCCGCCTCCCCACTCCCACTCCCACTCCCGCAACTACACCTGCTCCCACTCCCACACCTACCACCTGCCCCATTCCCTCCCACGCTTCTGCTGCTACCGCAGCCACCAGTGCCGTTCTCCCCCGTGGACGAATCTCCACCGTCCGTTTCCCTCCGGAACAGCAGATCCTCGCCGGCCGATCTGCTCCGCCGCCGCCCCACCTGCGGCGGCTGTCCCCTAGCCCGCCTTCTACCCACCAGCGCCTCCCCCAAATCCCCATCCTCCACGTCCCTTAACGCGTCAGACACTTCACTCATAAGGCTCTCTCTCGCACTTAGCGCCTTCTTACCGGTACTTATACTCATTCCCGTTGCCGCGCCCGACCCATCCGCGTCCCTATCCTCATCATCCCTGCTCCCCCCTGCTCCCCCCTCGCCTGCCTGCGTGTCGGCCAGCGCTGGATTCGTTATAAGCCGCTTCGTTAGAAGATACGCATGCGGGGCGTCAGGATAGAGGTCCATACGCGGTTTAGGCAGGAGCTTGCCCCGAACAACCCACACTAGGTACTCTAGATGGGGGCCCAGTAGCTCCTGGTACAGGGCGCCGGAGTGGCAGGATGATCTCGACCGTTGGATGGGCCGCGGGAACGGCTGAGATGCGAAGCTAGGTTCTGCTGCCTGTTCCCCTGCCTGCTGCTGGCTGTCCCTGAATGGTTGGTTTTCCTGCTGCTCCCCTGTGATTGGTTCAGTTGCAGCAGCTGCACTAGCTGCTGCATCTGTAGGATCTACAGTTGTAGCAGCTACACTGGTAACCGCTGCTGCATCTGTAACATCTACAGTTGTAGCAGCTACACTGGTAACCGCTGCTGCATCTGTAACATCTACAGCTGTAGCAGCTACACTGGTAACCACTGCTGCATCTGTAACATCTACAGTTGTAGCAGCTACACTGGTAACCACTGCTGCATCTGCTTCTAGTAGAGTACACTCATGCTCTTTCTCTTGCGCCTCCTCTCGACCCGACCCGGCGTTGTTATCCCGGTCTTCCGACAGCGCTCGTACCTGAGCCGAGCCTAATCGAGCCGAGCTTAATCGAGCCGAGCCTAATCGAGCCGCAACAAAGGCAGAAGCTTCTTCATCCAACCCAAGAGCATAACATCTTTGATCTCGCTGTTGCTCTGGGAGATTCTCTTGCTGTTGCTGTTGCTGTTGCTGTTGCACTGCAGAACTTCGGACTTGGTCTCGCAATTCCTCGTGAATATTCCCTTGATCCAATCCGGAATTCCGGTCCTGGTCCTGCTGTTGCTCTTCTACCCGAGCCTGGGCCGAACCTTGCTCGTGCTCCAGGCTCGGCAGCCAATCAAAGACGGGCAAGGGGAGGTCCGGAGAGGGGTGGGGCAGCAGGCAGGAGAGGAAGGCTTGGTGCACGTGTGCAAGGAGGGCGAAGGCGTGGGGGCGGGCGAGGGAGCAATCTGTCATGGCGAAGGGGACCAGGCCGTCAGGGGCAGGAGCAAAGACCAGATTGGTGCGCCCGTAGCCCTGAAAGGGGGATGAAGGGGGAGGTAAGGGTGGAAGGGAAACAAAAAAACATGAGGGCGAGGGAGCAATCGGTCATGGCGAAGGGGACCAGGCCGTCTGAAGCAGGAGCGCATAGTAGATTGGTGAGGCCATAGCCCTGGTGGGTGGTGGGGGGTAGAAGGGCGGACGGGATGGGGGGGGGTGGAGAAACGGGAGCACAGGGGGGGAGGGTGGAATGGAGTCAGGAGTGTAAAAACAGGCAGCAGGCAGCAGGCAGCAGGCAGCAGGCAGCAGGCAGCAGGCAGCAGGCAGCAGGCAGCAGGCAGCAGGCAGCAGGCAGCAGGCAGCAGGCAGCAGGCAGGAGAGGAAGGCGAGGAACAGGTGGGCGAGGAGGGCGAAGGCGTGGGGGCGGGCGAGGGAGCAATCGGTCATGGCGAAGGGGACCAGGCCATCAGAGGCCGGAGCGAAGAGCAGGTTGGTGCGACCATAGCCCTGCGTGAGAGGGGAAGGGAGTAGGGAGTAGGGGAGGGATGGAAAAAGGGGAAGGGAGGAAAGTATTTGGGCGAGGGAGCAATCGGTCATGGCGAAGGGGACCAGGCCCCAGAAGAGCAGATTGGTGCGCCCGTAGCCCTGGGAAAGGGGGGGGATGGGAAAGAGGCAACAAGCATGCGGGCAGCGAGGAAGCAGTGGGTCATGGCGTAGGGCAGTGGGTCATGGCGTAGGGCAGTGGGTCATGGCGTAGGGCACTAGGCCGTCAGGGGCGGGCGAGAAGAGCAGGTTGGTTCGCGCGCCTGTAGCCTTGCGGAGGGAGGAGGGAGGAGGAGGATGGTAGGGTGAGGAAGGTTCAGGGGATGGGGGGAGGTGTTCAGGGGAGAAAGAAATGGGGGAGAATGGAAGAATGCAGATGCAAGCTTTGTAGCGTGCTTGTTCCGTTCATATGTTCCTGTCAACTTCCGTGTAATTCCCTGGTGAAATTACATGTAGCTCGCACACCCCATGAAAAGTGCATTTTCCAGAGTCATGCACTAATCGCACTAGCCGAAGCCTGAACATTACCAGGTTCTGACCACCCATTGGTTCCTTACCAGCGAGTATCTGCTGACGTGGCATGGCAGCTCCAGAATCACTGCAGACAGCAAGGTTCCGAGAACCTTCCTCTGCTTCCCATGATCCACGAGAACCGCGCCGTCCGACCGCCGACCAATCCCGACGTAGAACACCAGCTGCGCCAATCCGTCTTTCGTGCCGCCGCCTCTCTTCCCGCCGCCGCTTTTCACGCCGCTCCCGTCGCCATCGCCGCGACCTCCGCCGCGGCCGTCGCCGCCGCCGCTCCCGTCGCCACGTGCGACGCTGCTTCTATCGCCCCAAATCCCGTCTGCGACGTTGCCTGCTCGGCGGAACGCGGCGTCGTCGGTCGCAGCGGAAACGGACGATCGTCCGCACGTCAGCGCGGAGAGACGCGGAGGGGGAAGCCTCGCCGCAGCCGCAGCAGCCGTCGCCTCCGCCGCTGCTGCTGCCGTTCCTGTCGCAGCAGTCGCGAATGTCGTGAGTGTCGCTACTTTTGCCTTTTCTGCAGCGCTCGGCGATTCCAAGGCAGAGTGGCTGGTTGACGGAAACCGAGATTCTCGGCATCCGTTGACGGAAAACGTCGAAGCGAACGACAGCACGGCAGCTCTCTGCGGCAGCACTGACTGCTGCACCTTCACTTGGCTCCTGCGACTCATTCTGTAATCTCAAGATGCCGTGCGATTCTTATGCGAATTTATGCGATCCTACGCGAACCTAGGCAATTGCCTTAGAATTACGTGGCGAACACTGCCAAACTCTCGGATACTGAATCTTGGCACTTCAACTGGAGGCTTGAGAGTGGAAGGGGGATGATTGATAGTGACGCTAAGTCTTATGTACGCAGAGAAGCTATAACTATAACCTACGTGTGAGTGCAGGTAAACCACGCAGTTATTTCACTAACCTACGCCCCGCATTCCGCCCTAAACCACGCGTTCCACTCCGTATGAACTCACACTTCTCTAGAACCTTCGTGATAGAGAACATGCCAGGCTAGACTGACGCTGTGAATTCTATCCCTGAGCATGACAACTCCTTCAAACCAGCAAATGGTTTCCAACCAACTGTCTCCCAACGATACGAGGAAGAATAGCTGGCGTCTGGAGAAGGGAGCCATGAAAGGGAAAGGCAACATGGGAGGACAGGAACGGTGAGGATTGTATCAAAGGCCCAGAGGGCCACTGTATGCTGTAGAATGGAGTTCCCTATGAAGTTGGGCATAGGGATGTTCGTGCGACATGAGATGGAGCCGTTGGGTGCCGCAAGACAGGTGGGCGAGAGTTCGGAAACGTCGCATGCTACGGTTTGTGCTCTGAGTTACATCGCACTCGGTGGGCGATGAGTACCCTGGCAGTTTTGCGAAGTAGTTACCCATGTTACCATTTCGAAACGTCAGAGTTTTGCAGCGGGCAGCTTGGATGGTCGTTTTGTCGCCTCCTGCTGCCAGATTTTTCACCGCGATTGTAGCTGCCTGCCGGAATTAGTGACAGCGTGGGGCAGAAGCAGAGTCGCGACGATCGTCGATCTTGACGACGTGGACGTGGTGTCAACTGGCCGATGACGACGGGCAGCCAGTTGTGTCACGAAAGCTTTTATCGTACCCCAGTTATGAACTTGTTCGTTTCTGAACGTCGCCAACGCCTGGTTACAGAACAAGCAGCGAACAAGGAGGGCATTTCCCGACCAGCTTTGAGCAAGGTTCTGATTTGCAACGTCTACGGAGCGGTTGAGTGAGGCAGAATATCCCTGTCAACAACTCAACCACGGGGTCGATCCGTCCCATTTTACGAGTCACGACACGATGCATGTTGACAAATGGTACTTTGTTTTGACGAGCGGTCGCCTCAGAACGCCACCCGGGATGAAACCAATCTGAATCAAGAGTTCAGAATGCAATTGCAGGAAGCCAAACCAACAACAGGATGCAACCAGCAAGCCAACCAGCAACGGGATGCAACCAGCAACCAACCAATAACGGAATACGCCATCACCAAAGCTGGAGACTTGGTGTGGATGGAGTACACGCCCTTGCGGAAGGGTCCAACAATGTAGATACCCAACCCATCTGGCGTGTTTATTAGAACGTTCTGGATCAGATCCAAACCGTTTTCAACCCCATTCTGACGTTCCCCTTGGACCCGCCGTAGCAAAGCAGGATGCAGGACCCGCGTCACAGGCCATTTCCTTATGTGTCATAAAACGTACAAAAGATAACTCTTAGGTCGCACCTAGTTGTTGGGAGGGCGGAGGCAGGCCCATCCCGGGCCGCGCATTACTCCCTGTGACAGTTCTGCAGGCGAACGGCTAGTAACAAGTGCTTTTCTCCATTGAGATTCGGCGTCATTCTCAGCCTGCAAGTCTTCAAAGTCGCGTGGCAATGCCTCAGGTAATGTCCACGAGTTTCGCGGATCATGCTATTCGTAAGTCGTTTTCGGGACACACATGGAATTCTGTGTGACCATGCACATGATGACATGTTGTCGAATGTACTGACGAAGATTACTGAAGCGCATCATTCCTGTCAATTTTCGCGGTGCACGCTGTATTCACAGCGAACCGTATCGTGACCGTTCATTTCGCATCTCCATCAATCGATCCGTGCCTGAAATGCAGGTTCGGCAGCTGGTTCGGGGAACGGGCAGCGAGGTTACCGCGAGCGCGTGGAACGGATCGCGAACGCGATGGGCGGCCGGCACGGCGGACGGCGCGCTGCAGATCTGGGAGCGCTGCGACGACGGCGCGGAGCGCGGGCCGCTGAGCCTCTCCGCGAGCTGGCCGTTGGGGGAAAGTGTCGGAGGGGATAAAGCAGGTGCGCGGATAGTTCGTATTCGATCCACCACACCACAGCACCCGATTTTCTTTTCCGCCACCCTCCCTCCTCTTCCCCTCCCCCTATTCCCCCATTCCCCCCCTTCCCCCCATCTCCCCCTCTCCCCCCCTCCCCTATTACCTCCCACAGCAGCGCATGTGGTTGGGCCCCACAGGAGTTGCGGAACAATGCCCGCATCCCCCCTCTCCCCTTCAACCTCTTCCTACCCCACTTTAACCCAGCAGCAGCAGCGCACGTGGTGTGGGCGCCACAGGAATTCGGGGGAAAGCTGGCTGTGGCGTGTAGGGGGAGCAGCCGCGTGCACATCTGGGGGAAGGTTGGGGGCGCGGGGGAAGGGGGGGATGGGCGGGATAGGGCCACGGGGAAACGAGGGGGGGATGGGGGAAGTGGGAGCGGCAGGGAAGAGCGGGATGGGGAGGAGAGGAATAGAGAAGGCGAGCCGGACACTGAAATGGGAGGCGGAGGAGGGGGTGAAAAGGGAGGAGGGGCCGAAGCTGACCAATCAGGAGCAGGAGGAGGTAATCGGTGGAGGCAGATGGCAGTGGTGGATGTGGGGAGCATGCTGCTGACTGCACTAAATGGGTCTGCTACTGCTGCTGCTACTAGTGGTGCTAGTGGTGGTGCTGCTGCTGCTCCTAGCGGTGCTGCTGTGTTGGCTCTGGCGTTTGTGCGGAGCACGTTCACCGACCCGCTGCTGCTGGTGAGACTGCCACTCACACCGCCCGCCACTCTCTGGTTTGCGTGTGCGTGTTTGTTTGTGCCTGTGCTCATGTGCCTGTGCTCATGTGCCTGTGCTCATGTGCATGTGCTCATGTGCATGATCTCATGTCATGTGGGGGGAACATGCTACCAAATAGCAGGTGGCGGTGACATCAGAGGGGAGAATGGTGGTGCATCGCTGCAACGACTGCCTCACTCTTTCTCACTGGTCGCTCGAGGTACATCCATTCATCTATACATCCGTCTCCCTTCCTCCCTTTCCCTCTCCCCCCCTTCTCGCTCCTCTTTCTCCTCTCACCTCCTCTCTCCCTCCTCTCTCCTCCTGTCACCAATCCGCCTCCTTTTTTTCCTTTTGGATTTTTAGATGGCGGCCCCCCATCTGCACCAAACCAAACCCCAGAACTTGGATGTTCCATACCTCTGGAAATGTCCCACATTTTGCGACGAAATCCTTGCTGTTTGAAAAGAAAAAAACAAATAGCGTCTGGAAATTGTTTTGTTTTGTTTGTTTGTCCCGTTTTGAAAATGACTATCTTTTTTAACCTGTGCATGCAGACTGACGTGGCACTGTTTCCGTACGCTGACGTCAGCATGGGCAAGGAGCTGCTGTCGCGTGCGATCATAGCCGTCCATCCGTCCACGCGTGCTTTCGGCCAATCACCCGCGGTTGCCATTGCCACTTGTGCAGCAGCAGGCAGCAACAAGGGTGAAAGCAACACTGCTAAGGTGAGTCTGTTATGAAAAATCCGCTTGGAGAACAAGTGAGTGCGATGAGGGAAGTGAGTGAGACTGGGGAAGCACAGGGGGAGGGAGAATGATAAGGCAACATGATCCTTGTTGGTGGTGGTTCCAGTGCATGCTCTCACTCAATAAATCCTGTTATCTGACCAAGGCCTTACTTTGTGTTTTCCCTTGTGTTTGCTCTCCTGGTGTCAGGGGCCCTCACTTCCGTTCACTCCCGTTCTCTTCCGGTCGCTCCCTATCACTCGCTCAATCCCTCTCAATCCCTGTTACTCCCTATTGTCTCATCCATCCATCCATCCATCCATCCATGGGCGTATTTTTTTCTGCTTATTTCTGTAGCTTCGTGTGGCTGTCTCGCTCACTCCTCTCACTCCCTCTCATCTCACTCCCTCTCATCTCACTCCCTCTCACTCCCTCTCACTCCCTCGCACCTCATCTCATCCATGCATACATGTATGGGTGGGCAGTGGTCGCTACATGCACAGGCATGTCATAGCAGATCTCCTGCCTGGAATCTCATCTCATTCCCCCTCATTCCATGTCACACCTTGTCACTCCCTCTCACTCATCAATGCACACTCACAGGTGTGGGTGCGCAGTGATCGTTACATGCACTGGCATGCCATAGCAGACCTCCTACCTGCCACCTCTGCAACCACAGCGGCCAATCAACCACCGCCACCTGTCACCAGCATCGCATGGGCGCCCACCCTAGACAGGCACGACTTTCCTTGCCTTGTATGAGTGCAGTGCAGTGCAGTTCAATGCAGTGCAGTGCGGTGCATTGCAGTTCAATGCTCTGCATCCACGCATGCCCGTGTTCACTCTATTCACCCATCTGTGCACACTGCACTGTGCCCTGGTGCACGGCAGTTCCATGCATGCACGGCAGTCCCATGAGTGCACCCACCCGTGCACCACTTCACTCTCTTAACTCATCAATCATCAACTTTTGCTCTTTACCGCTTCATCTCCCATCCCATCACTTCGGCGCCCATTCCACTGTACTGAAATTTCAAAAACCCCTAAGTTCCTGCCTTACTTTACTCAGGGGTTTCAAAAACCCCTGAGCCCCTGTTTTACTGTACTCAGGGGTTTCAAGAATGGATTGCTTACTTGTGTTATTCGTGCTTATGCATGCCGATGCATGAGTTCACTTGTGCTATTTCGTTGCTCCCTCCCCCCACCACCCCTCAACCAGGCCTTTCGATGTGGTTGCCGTAGCTGCTTCTTCCGCTGTGAATCTGGTTCGGATAGACTATCCGAACCAGCCTGGCTCGGCGCAGCAGTTTACCGAGCCCGATGAAGCGCAAGATGCCATGGGTATGGGAGATGGTTCCGAGGCAGGGCGTTACCACTCCAAGCCTTCCAAGGCTGCAGTTCAGGTTCGACAGGTGGCCCGGCTGGCCTCCACCAGTTCTGCGCAGGTACGTTAATCCACCTTCCATGCAACCAAGCTCCCCAGGCACGATTGGAGCCATATTTCATGTATTGGTAACATACGATTGCGGCATCATGCAATGCTGCAAAATTTCAGTTTCAGTTCAGCTTTTAGACTGTCAACATTATGTCGCATGTCAGTGTTTCATTATTTTGTGCCGTGTTCATTGTCGCATGTTGGCTGTAGTGATCAGTATGCATGGTCTTTTGGAACCACACAGCCACCTTTTCTTTGAGCTACCTAGTTCAATGTAAACCGTGTCTGTGTGATAATGATTTGTGTTGTGAACCAACCCACGTTCATCTCAACAGGTGCATCAAGTTTCCTGGGACCTACTAGGGTCTAGCCTGGCGACAGTAGGAGCGGATGGTGTGGTAACAGTGTGGAAACAGAGTGCTATGGGAAAATGGGTGGGGCATCCTGTCTACGCTGCAAATTAATTGGTGCATGGTAGATGAAACTATGTAGCCAAACCAATCATTTTAGCAACTTGTTGCAAACATATCATTCTATACAAATTATCTAATGTGTTTGTATGAATTTCATGAAACACGAAGAATCTTGTACACGCTTTTTAGCGGGAACATACCGAGGCGCGCATGTCTGCTGGTTCGGCCTACGTTTCGACCCGAACCACTTACGAGTCGCTCCCGCACTTCTTGCCAACTTTCCGAGCCTCGCTAACCCGAGGTCCTCGGCTAGCTCGACTCTCCCTATTTAACCCCGTTATTCATTCTTCAGTAGTATTCTGTAGCTTCTGACTCCATTGCATTTCAGCTCACTTGAAAATCCTGCGCAACCTTACAACTAAACAGGTCCACAACGAGGGCCCAAAATATCAGGGTAAAACACCCTGATTACCCTGGAGGCCGGCCGCTTTTTCACGAATACCCAGCCGAAATCAGAAATGGCCAATAGTTACCCTTCTCTAAAAAGAGCACGTGTTTTTTACACTGATAGGTTTTTAGGTAGGCTGATGGAATCAGGGTATGGTGTACACTACCCTTTTACCGAAAACATTCTAACGCGAATCAGTCCGAAAGCCTCATCGGAACTCGGTCGTCGGACCCGTTTTGCCAGTGTCGACGGGAGGGGTCGTCGGAGGAGGGCCTGACGAGGCGGGCGACTGACGCGCGTGCGGGCCCGCCAGCCTGGCCCAGGGCTGGGCCGAGCGCACGACCGCCGCCCCGCAGCCCCGCTCCGAAATTGAACAGCGACCCACGTTACCGGGTGGGGTCGGCGAACTGGCGACCCCTCGCGCGAGGGAAAGTTACCCTCGCGCGAAGGCAGCCCACACGTGCTGCCTGCCCGCGAGGTCCTAGTAACCCATCGCGGCCTGCCCGGACGGGCAGGCGAGGGCCGTGCGAAAATACGGGCCCCCCTCGGGACACTCGACAATTTCGCGATTCGCAGCGGTGGCGCCACGTGTTCGCCCGTGGCTTCGCATCGGGCGCATGCGAAATTTTTGACGAGGCGGACCTAAATTCTCTCCCATCGCATGCATTCTATCGTCGCGAACCGCTACGAAATCGACACGTGTCGATTGTAGCGTCGCTCCGCGCGCAGGAGGATTCGTGCGTCCCCTCGCCGACCTGGGCCAATGGACGCGAAGTCGACGCTCTACCAAGGCGGAGACGGACCACCTGTGCCACTTGCGCATCCGCCCTCCGAGCACTGCCGAGCCAGGCCCTGCACCCTTGGGCGATGCTGAACGGGCCTGGGGGGGGGGGCACCACCTCCTTTTCTTTGTGGAAGGTGGCCTCGCTCCGCATTTTCGGCATCTCTTTTAGATTTTCAAACATTGACAGCTCTGCGCCTCCCCTCTCTCCTACCAGAGCCGTCCGCCTCTTTTCTTAGTCGACAGATATGGAGCCGATCTCCGCCGCCGATAAGTCGGCGCCGACATCGGCCGACTTTCCCCTTCGGGTGCAAATGGGTCGCGGTCTCAGCTTCACCTTAGAGTGGAACGACTACGCCGTCCTTCGCGACCAAAAGAAAGAGTTCACCGAGAGATGCTTTGGACTCGCCATCAGGTGGGACGCGGGTAGTCGCGGTAGTCGAATAGGGAAGATGTCGGTGCCGACCAACCCTAGTAGGCCGATTGTCTTCCGACGTACGTCGGCGGGCGCGTTTGACGAAGCACGTCGACATGGCAGCGTTTGCTTACCAGCCATGTTCTCATCCCTCGTGCTCACTCGTGCGCTCAGGTTCGCTTGGTTTGACATTGGGCGGGACGACCTGCGGTTGTGGGTGCTCGGGATCGGCCCGCTTCGATCGGCCATGAAAGCCGCCGACCATTCTTGCTTTGCTAAGGCTTTCGACGCCGACATCGCCGCTATCCCGCTGAAATCGACGTGAGCTGTTACCCCGTTGTCCAGTCATCGTTTTTCAGTGTCGGCCGCATCAACGCCTTATGCTGTGGTCGACGCCGTCGTTTATTGCGTGTGCAGCGGCGGCCCGCTTCCAGGGTCACACTGCAGCGTCATAGCCATCCTCTACCCAGGAGATGTGCTGAAGGCTGAGGGACAGGTCTGCAGGACATCGATCCGGCACATCGACCCGCACACCGGAAAAGGGAAGCACCGCGACGAGGCCGTCCGCGTCCTGAAGTAAGTTGTGAATAGTCGTCGCTGTCGAGTTTGTTAGTCGCCGACACAGGGAATCTCATGCTGACCTCCTCTCCACTACGTTGCTCCAGGCTATTCCGCACGGCTGCCCTGGCCGAGCTGGGGCGTCCCGGTAGGAAGTGGGACGGGGCGCCGCCATCACAAGCAGTGGTGGAGGAAAGGCTTGCCGACTGCGACGACCCTATCCGCGACGTGAGTTGCACGTTTAGGCTCCGCTACGGTCTGCGCGTATCTGTATGCACCGCTCATATTGTGCCGCGCTTGCCTGTGTTGTATGCAGAAAGTGCCGGGCACAGTGTCGGACGGGCATGTCGGCACCGGCATGCTTGCCGCGACGTCGTTCGGGTGGGTGGCCAAGCAGATCGGCCTGCTGACGGGCGACAAGGCTCGGAGCGCTGTGAGCATCGAGAACATCAAGGTCGCGGGTTTGAGGTCGCTCCGTGATAGCATGGTCGATTACATCTGCCATCGTGTCGCCGAAAACCGGATAGCGGCGCCGACTTCAGGCGCCGACGGACCCGCCGAGGGTGCGATTGATGACGACGGCGCGGAAAGTCAGACGGCGCCCCAAGCAGCAGCTGCCGCCCAGCGCCAGGAGGACTTGCCGGTGTCCGCGGAAGGAGGAACCGGTGGAGGACTAGGCGACGATGCGGCAGGCGCAGGGAGGAAGGAAGAGGAGTTGACGGACTCTGGCTCAGAGTCGGAGTCGGAGGGGGAGGAGGAGGACGAAGGGGAGAAGGAGAATGAGGACGAGGAGGATGACGAGGGCAAGGACGAGAACGATGAGGTGGTGGAGGTGGTGGCCGGGAAGGATGAGGCGGCGCACGAGGAAGGGGTGGAGGAGGAGGTGGAGTACGAGCTGGAGTACGCAGACGGCACGGTTGAGGCGGTGGGGTCGGCGGACGAGAAGAACGAGGAAGCGGAGGATGGCGATGCGGGTAATGCTACGGGGTCGGCAGGTGAGGGGAAGGAAAAGGATGAGGTCGGCGTGGAGGCAACGACGGAAACGGGCCAGGAGGAGGCGGCATGCGAAGGTGCGAAGGTGTCGGTCGACGCCGGCGAAGGTGCGAACATCGCGGGCGTGCAGGAGACGGGGGACGCATCTGGTCGGCAGGGCCCTGCAACGGACGACGTCGAGGAGCTGCGACGGGAGAACTTGCTGTTGAGGGCGGAGAACGCTCGGCTGCAGGGTTTGCTCGATGCGGAACGGGCTCGGCTGGACGCGTTTTTTGTTGGGCTACGTGGACTCGTCGACCACCTGAAGGAGTTGGCCGAGCAGGTCGACGACACCGAGAAGTATGCGGCGGAACAGCTGCGAAACGCGGCGGAGGCCATGTCGCAGACCATCACGGGCAACATCACCGGCAGCTTCGACGAGGCGTGGAAGACGATGAAGACCTTCGCGGAACAGGCGTCGGCGTGGCTGGAGGACTTCGACAACCCGGAGGGAAATGTGGCGTATCAACGCGCCTTAGCGGTCACCACCTTGGCCGACCACATCAACAAGGTGGTGGGCGATGCGCAGGAGGATTTGCGGGAGCACATCACGAGCCAGTTGTCCGCCGCAGCTGTCAACATCGCCACAGCTGTGACCGGCAGGCTCCCCGTGCAGCCGCCGCCACCGCCTCAGCCCACGCCGCCCGCCCTCCCGGAAGAGCTCTTGAAGTCGTTCAAGGCCGACATCATGAAGACGGTGACGGAGGCCACCGAGCAGTCGTTCGTTGCGTCCGGGATGAAGATGTTGACCGAGATGATCGGCACGGTGGCGCCTGGTCGACGTGGGTCGTCGCCTTCGGCCAATGACGCCGACGCCGCGCAACAGAGGGCGGCCGACAAGCAAGGCCTGAAGAGGTCGGGCGACGGTGACGACAAGGAGAGCTCGAAGCGGAGCAAGGGATCGGACGGGAGCCGCGTCACGAAGCCTCCTGCGCGGAGCGTGGTCGACATGCTGAAGGCGAAGGGGTGGAAGGTGAGGGGAGGGTCGACCAGCAAGGGAAGCGGAAGCGGGGGGGCGGACGGGAGACCTGCCGACGGGATCGCGGCTAACGTCGATGCACCGCCTGGCCCGCCTTTGGACGCCGAGCAGACCCATCCTCAGGCGAGCGGTGGGAAGGACGCGGCCCCCACTGCCCAGGCGGCGAAAGTCGGAGGCGCCGGAACCACCCAGGGGCCGTCTGACGCGGTGCCGGCCAAGGGCAAGGCGATGTCTGCGTCTGCTACGGTCGCCGGAACCGGCACGGCGAAGGCTGCCTCTGCTTCAGTCCCCGGAACCGGCAAGTCGAAGGCTGCTTCTGCTACGGTCGCCGGAACCACCAAGTCGAAGGCTGCTTCTGGTACGGTCGCCGGAACCACCAAGTCGACACCATGTAACCCGCCTGCGGCAACCACCGGGCCCGCCGGCCAGTCAGGTGCGGGGAAGCATGGGGAGGCCCGTGCGGCCCCTCCAGCTCCAGCAGCCCCTACTGCCGCCAAGGTCGACGCGAAGGCTGCTTCGGCACAGGGGCCACCCGGGAGTAACGCGCTTAGGGTGTTGCTCCACCGCATGGAGTCCCACCGCCCGGGCGCGCAGCAGCATCCTGTGGTCGACGCCGGCCTCGCAGAAACAGCACGTCGCTCCGTCACTCCGCACGTTGCCGGCAAACCGTCCGATGCCCAATCTGCCGCGCGGCCGGTCGCCGCCCCACCGCCTGCGGACCCCAAGTCCGCGTTTCTTCGCGCCCATATAGGCGCACGCAAAGCGGCAGCTCCACCAGTCACTCAGCCGGAACCCGGCACAAGCGCGACGCCGACGGCTGTAAATGCGACCGCACCCT